GTGAATTGGGGAATCGAACCCTGGTCGGCCCTGTGAATTGCAAACACCTTCTCCACTGTGGTATGACTCCAGCCTCAAACACTCGCCTTTAGCACAGGAATTTCAGTCCAAGTTACTTCCTGAAGCAGGAGCGCGAGCAGGCAGGCAGCACGCAAGACCCTTGCCTTGCAGGCAGCTGACCCGAGTTCAATCCCCGGCTTCCCTAATAGTCTCCCAAGCTGGGCCAGAAGTGACTCATCACACAGCGTCGGAACCCCGAGCATCGCCCCCAAATTCAACTCACTTCCTGAGCTTGATGGAAGCAAACCCAGGAAGCATGGAAAAATACAGACACAAAGGCTTTTATTTGTTAAAACAAACAAACAAACAAACAAAAACAATGTGATTAAGTACTAGGCTGGACTGAGAGGTGCTGAGCTCCAAGCTGTTGGTCGACTCTGCTGTGGTCCCTCTGCCCGGCATCGCGGCCAGCGCCACTGTCAGCATCTCGGCCAGTGCCGTGGTTGGCATTACTGTCAGCATCAAGGTCAGGACCATGGTCAGCGTCACGTCAGCGTTGTGTTCAACATGAGGGTCTGCTGTGGTCAGTGTCCACATGGTGGTCAGCATCGAGGTCAGCAGAGCGCATGGACTCGCTGTGTCTGTGCTGCTCCTGTCCTAGACCACCTTGGGGAGGGGAAGGACACCTGAGCGTCTCTTCCCCAGCCCTGTCCAGGTGTGTCCTTCCCTCTGAGCGTGGCCCCTCTGCTGTGTTAGGGCCCCCACGCGGAGTGTGGTGTGTGGTGGGGACCCCCATCTGCTGTGGGGTGGTGCTTAGTGTTCTGGGTGCCCAGGGAACCTGGGGCCATCCTGGGGAGCTCTTGTCAGCATCCTGAGAGGGAAGTTTCTCCCCATTTCAGACGATGGAGACTGAGGCCTCGCATCTGCGTTCCTCCGTGAGACTGCATCACGGGTGCCTTGAGACCCCAAGCCTCTGGCCACTGCTGCTGTGATAAATGCCCAAATAGTTGGCATCTATCCGCTGAAGGGACCTCAGAGGTTCCTCTCCTCACCAAGATTAAGATTTTCTCAAGTGTCTTCCAAAGAGGCAGGCAGGGTGTGGGGGTGGGGGCTGGGAAATGCGCACAGGTGGAGGAAAGGGTGTTAGAACACTGTATGGCTGAAATTTAATCACGAATGGCTTTGGGATGCTCCAAAAAAATAAGTCAAAAGTTTTAAAAAATTAGAATTGGGTAGGACTGCACTTACCTTCCCCCAACTGCCTGATGTGGCCCAAAAAAACAAAAAGGAATTGACAATCAAGTATGTAAAGAAAAGGATCAAAGTGTGGTTATTTTGTTTTCCTGTTTTCAATTTTTTTTAATGTCCTGGCATCTGGGCCTCTCTTTGACACTCCTCCTTTTGCTGCCATGCAGCCCCGGACCCATAATTGGGGTTTTCAATGAGGGTGGCATCACAGTGGCCAAGGCCAGGAGCAGGGTTCAGAGGCCACGGGGACGAGGGAGAAGGTTGGGTGGGATTGCACTTACCTTCCTGCAACTGCTGCAGCAAGGACTTTAGAAGACCATCCAGTTCTCTGTTGCCTTTAATAGCCTCAATGAGCCTGATGACACATTCATAACCTGAGAACTGGTCAAACATCTGGTTTGTAATCTGGATTGTAAAGTCCCTAAGGACCCTGAGAAAAAAATCCAGAGCTAAACTCTGCTAATTAGTAACTCTCCCTTTCCTGCCCCCTCCCTAGTAGAACTTTAGAGTGAAACCATTAGGCCCTTCCTTATTGGGATGTAAATTCGGAAACCATTTGTTGGCCCTTCCTTATCTGTTACCTCTGTTAGGAACTTCTCCCTTATCTGCCTCCACAGGAATGCAGGAGCCATGAGCTGAGAATCAAAGGGAACAAAGAAGATAACCAAATGTCTGAGTTACCAGATACCCACTAGCCACAATGCCTATGTTCGTAAATGCTGATCTTTGAATCTATAGGCTAAGGAGTGATGTACTTTTAAATCAATTGGTTAAGAAAGTATGGAGCGATAGCACAGCGGTAGGGCATTTGCCTTGCACGCAGCCAACATGGCCGACCCGAGTTCGATTCCTCCGCCTCTCTCGGAGAGCCCGGCAAGCTACCAAGAGTATCTCGCCTGCACAGCAGAGCCTGGCAAGTTACCCGTGACGTATTCGATATGCCAAACACAGTAACAACAAGTCTCATGATGGAGATGTTACTGGGCCCGCTTGAGCAAATCGATGAACAACGGGAGGACCGTGATGATGATGGATGATGTTGTTACAAATCTATTGGCTATGAAATGCGCGTGCTTTGCTGTGATGGCCAGTGAAGGCCTATATAAGATCCCCTTTGAAGAAGTTCGGGGCCTTGCCTGATGGCTTGACCCTGGCTAGCCAGCTCAATAAACTACCTGCTTGCTAATTTCATTCCTGCGTGATCCTTGCTTGTGGTCAGAGATCCAGAGCGGTGCCCTAACAGGATTTGGGTGTCAGACTTAGAGGTGTGGCCAAAAAGCACTTGACTGTTTAGGACTGGTAGTCACTGAGATTTTCCAGCCCTTTCTGCAGGAAGATTCTCTTGTACTGCATCTCCCTGTGTCTCAGAGAGAAGCCTGGGAGAGGGACGGGTGTCACAGGGACAGGGCCGGCCTGACCCGTCCTGCCACCACCTTTTATGGACTCAAGGCCCAGGATAGCTCTCAAGGGAATGAGGGAGCCACAGCAGTTGGGCTTGTTCCCAGGAGACAGGCCTGGCAGAGCACCCGTGGTGCCAGACCCTGCCGCCCACATCAGTGTAGTCAACCTCCACCTCCCAGGGTGCCCTGTGGGGTGGGAGTGGGGGGTTCATTCTCTGCTCAGTGCCCAGGATGTCCCCAGGTCTTGCCATGCAAATGTCATCTTGTCTGGCTCTAAAATCCCCCTCTCAAGTGATTCTCCTGCTAGAGAGGCTGAAGGGTCCTGGCTGGAGGCCTCGGGGACACCTCAGTTCTGGAGTTGCAACTGTTGGGGGCTGGAGGGGCTTCGGGACCCAGAGAGAGAGGCCGGGGGGTGGGAGCTCAGAAGCCTGGGGGAGTCAGAGAAGTGCTAGTGCTTCTGCGCAGGCCTCATAGACACACCTGGAGGTGTGGGTGGACGCCTGCCCCTGCTGTCTGCTGAGGAGTTGGCCCTCCCGGGAAGCAAACTAGATCCTTTTTTCCGGTGTCTTGTGCATTGTCAGTGCAGGGTGGGCACTGTCATGGGTGCCCCCTCTCTCGGGACTGGGCCGTGGGGCTCAGTGCTGCTGCATCTGCATCTCAGGGACTGTCAGAGGTTCTGGTTCCTTTGGGAGAGGGGGGCCTAGGTGGGGCCCTGGGTGAGGTGGGGGCAGAGACAGCCCTTCTGCCCCTCCCTGAGTGATGCAACCCTTGCCCCTCGCTTCCTGGTAAAGCCCTCCCCCACTCCACCCCACCAGGAGGACAAGGTTAGTTCTTCCCCAGTCCTGGGGTCCGGGAGTTCTGGAGGACTCAGCCTCTCACGTGTTCTGGTGCCTGGTCTGGGGTCTCGCAGCCGAGTGGAACTAAGGTGGCTGTGGCTGAGGATGGCCAAGGAGGCAGGATCAGAGTGGACCAAGCAGGCCTGGCACTTCACTTCAGGGCAGAGGAGAAGGAGAGAGAGCAGGACAGGCTGGGCCGAGCTGTGAGACCAAGTGCTGGCCTCCCTCTCTGAGGCTGACTCCTCCTATCCAGAGCAGGAGTTTCAGTTTCCGGGAAGCTGAGGAACAGAAGCGTTTCCCACAAACCTGCCTGACCCAGACCCCTGCCCTTCCTGTCAGCGCTGGCTGCTGAGTGCGCCTCCTTGGTTCTGGTGCCTGGGTCCTCGTGGGGGACCCTCTTCCTAGGGCCTGTGTATCCCCCGCCTCTGTTCTGCGCCTCCTTCCCATCTGTGGGGAAAGGGTCTTTGTCTGCGTGGTGCATGGGTGACCAGCCTGCAGGATGGTTCTGCTATCCGCACACAGGGTGTTCTCCCTCTGTGAGGGACCCCGGGAGGGAGGACATCCCCCGAAGCCCCTTCATCGCTGCAGCCAGCAGGGGGCCTTTCCTGGTCAGAGAACCCCAGGGCTTATGATTTATGCTCTGAGCCTGAGGTGTCCGCTGGACAGATCTGAACACTCTTATTTGTGCTACTAGGGTCCCTCATCCTTTGCCTCACCCCTGTGCCCCTTATCCCGTGGTCTCAGCTTGTGCCCCTCACATACCCCTTACTCTGTCCTGCTCCCTGGGTACCCCACCTTGTGTCCCACCCCCTCACCGTGTCCCCTCTGCCCTGTGCAACACCCAGTATGCCACCACTTTTTTCCCCAGTAACCAGTGGGGGCAAGAGCTGCCTCCCCCAGCCAGTGACTCTAGTCCAGGAGAGCAAACACCGGTCTTTTTATTTATTTATTTACTTACTTACTTGTTTATTTTTTGCCTTTTGGGTCACACCCAGCGATGCTCAGGTTACTCCTGGCTCATGCACTCAGGAATTACTCTTTGCGGTGCTCGAGGGACCATGTGGAATGCTCAGGATTGAACCCAGTTCAGCCGCGTGCAGGGCAAACACCCTCGCCGCTGTGGTATGGCTCCATCCCCAAACACTCACCTTTAGCACTGGAATTTCAGTCCAAGTTACTTCCTGAGGCTGGAGCGGGAGCAGGAAGGCAGTGGGTCAGGACCCTTGCCTTCCAGGCCGCCGACCCTAGTTCAATCCCAGGTTCTCTGTATGGTCTCCAGAACCCTACCAGAAGTGATTCCTTGCACAGAGTCGGGGTCCTGAGCATCGCTGGGATGACCCCCCCGCCCCCAAATTCAACTCACTTCCCGAGCTTGATGAAAGCAAACGCAGAATGCATAGTAAAATACAGACACAAAGAAAAAAGGCTTTCTTTTTAAAAAAAGAATGTTTTTTAAATTTTTTAAAACTATGTTTTTTAAATGGTTTAAAAAACAATTATTGAAAAACAACTAGACTGAGAAGTGCTGAGCTCCAAGCTGATGGTTGACTCCTGTGCTGTGGTCCCTGGGCCTGGAATCACGACCAGTGTTGTGGTCAGTGCCACAGTCAGCACTTGTGCTGTGGTCCCTCTGCATCGCGGCCAGTGTCACTCTCAGAATCTCAGCCAGTGCTGTGGTCGGTGTTACTGTAGCATCAGGTCAGGACCATGGTCAGCTTCATGTCAGCATTGTGTTCAGCATGAGGATCTGCTGTGGTCAGTGTCCACGGGGTGGTCAGCATCACGGTCAGCAGAGCGCGTGGGCTTGCGGTGTCTGTGCTGCTCCTGTCCTAGACCACCTTGGGGAGGGGAAGGACACATGAGTGTCTCTTCACGCTGTTCAGGGCCTGCCTCCTCCAGCCCCTGTCTAGGAGTGTCCTTCCCTCTGAGTGAGGCCCCCAATGTGTGTGCGCTCAGGTCTATGAGCAGGGTGGTGGCAGGGGTCCTATTGGAAGGAAGGTGGGGAAGGGTCAGGCCTCAGGGTCAGGCGGGGCAGGGAAGGGTCACTCCTGGGTCATCTGTGCTCTGTGGTGGGCACCCTTGCACTGAGCACTCTCTGCTGTGTTAGGGCACCCCTGGCCCCCACCTGCTGAATCTGTGGCGGTGACTCCCACCAGAGGAGGTGCTGGGTGTTCTGGGTGCCCAGGGACCTCGGGGACCATCCTGGGGGAGCTCTTGGCAGCATCCTGAGAGAGAAGTTTCTCCCCACTTCAGAGGAAGGAGACTTAGGCCTGGCATCTGCATTCCTCAGTGAGACTGGAACATGGGTGCCTTGAGACCCCAAGCCTCTGGCCACTGCTGCTGTGATAAATGCCCAAATAGTTGGCGTCTATTTGCCGAAGGGCCCTCAGAGGTCCCTCTCCTCACCAAGACTAAGATTTTCTCAAGTACCTTCCAAAGAGGCAGGCAGGGGGTGGGGATGGGGGTGATGGGAGGGAGCTGGGAATTGCGTACAGGTGGAGAAACGGGTGTTGGAACACCGTATGACTGAAATTCAATCACGAATGGCTTTGGAATGCTCTGAAAATAATTTAAAAATTTTAAAAAAGTCCTTTTGTCAAGGCCAGGGTGGCAGCTTGGCAGGCTGGGCATAAACTTTGCCTGCAGGAGGCCTGATTCTGTTCCCAGGACTTCCAGGTCCCCACGCCCCATCAGCAAGTCTCAAGCTCTGAGCCAAGAGGGGCACCCGAGCACGGCCAGGTTTGACCCTCAATGCTAGAAAGAAAACCGTCCTTTCCGGAACAGGGAAATTGCAAGGGTGGGGGGGCGGTTCTCTCCTCCCTGACCTAGTGCTGTTGTAGGTGCCTCACAGTTTGGGGACGGCCAAACAGTACTTCGGGGAACGTGATTCTCGGCACTGGCTTGAGCCTGGCATTGCTGGGCCTGCTGGTGCTTGGGTGTTGCCAGGGATCAAAGTCAAGACCCTGTGCCCAAGGGTTGTGATCAAGCCCTCAGTCCTGCTCCCTGGCCCCATCTAGAATTTTAAAGTTCTACTTTGGAAAGGTAAAGTTCCCCAACTTACCACCTTGAGAAAACTGTGCATCAGAGATCTTATCTCGTCCTGGTCTTCTCCTCGCTCAAAGCAGATGAGTTGGATTCTATTGCCTCTCTCACAGGGGATGGCGGTCAGATGTCCGTATACCACCACCTGCATGGTGCCTGTCTCATCCTGGACCTCGTAATAGACACATGGGTACCGCACAACTTTCTGCAAGACAGAATGGGCATCCGCCTGCTGGGAGGGGCCTCTGAGAGGAACCGAAGTCTCCTCAGTTGAGGAGGGGCCGCCCAGAGGTTCAACTCTTTTATGGAGCAGAAACCCCCCTTTTTGAACCCCCAATAGTTTCTCTTCTTTTTTATTTTGGGTAGGGTGGGATGTCACGCCGCCCATGCACAGGGGTTACTCCTGGCTCTGCACTCAGGAATTACTCCTGGCAGTGCTTGGGGGACCATATGGGATGCTGGCAATCGAACCCGGGTTGGCCGCGTGCAAGGCCAACGCCCTCCCTGCTGTGCTATTGCTCCAAGCCCCAGTTTCTCCTCTTCTAGGTGTCTGTCAGCAATTTCCTGGAAGACTAGGGAGGAGGGGCTGATATTTGCTGAGGGGCTGGGCGGGAAGGGCTGAGGGGAGCTCAGTAGAAAGGCAGTTCACACCCATCCTGTCTTTGGAGGGGAGGCTGTGGATACCTCCCCTGTGCCTCTGCCATCTTCTCTGCTTTACTCCTTGTTCTCCAAGCCCCCCCCAAAGCCAAGCCTCTCTCCTTGGTTTCTTTTACTGATCCCAACTCTCTCCTCACTAGTTATGCAAAAGCTTGTGTGTTCCTGCCCTTCACAGAGGCTAGAAAGGAGCAAACTCACACAAGGGGACAGGCCCTCTTGGGATATGGGAAGACAAGGCAGGGGGTTGAGGGACTGGCCTGACATATTCTCAGAGGAGAACACACAACATGCTCTGAAGTAGGCTCCCCAAACCTCAGAGGACCCCATGAGTCCTGTAACTAGGAAGTTAGTTGACTGACTACAGGTTAAAACTTGTGATTCTGGAGAATGCTCCAGGTCCCAAACAGAGCCGAGATCACCGGGAAGTCCCAGATGGGGTAAGTACAGCATCCTGCCTTCTCCAGATGGAACCCCGGTGACCAAGCATAGCTCAGGCATGCGGGAACAAGGAGTTTTATTCCAAACTGCGCGGCTGCATGACATCTCCTTATATACAAAGTGATCAATGGAAAGTAAATCATCCAACGTTTCTCCCTGAAAATCAGGCTTAACTCTTTTACAAACCACAACAACCAAGAGGAGAGAGAGAACAAAAGGTAATGCCCTGCCACAGAGGCAGGGTGGTATGGGGGAGGGGGTAAGCGGGGTGGGAGGGATACTGGGATCCGTGGTGGTGGGAAATGGTCACTGGTGGAGTGATGGGTATTCAAAGTAAATAAATAAATAAAAAAAACAACTTGTGATTCTGGGGCTGGAACAATATAACAGTGGAGTGGGCATTTACCTTACACGTGGCCAACCTGGGCTCAATCCCCAGAATCCCAAGTGGTTTCCTGAGAACCACCAGGAAAAAATTCTGGAGTGCAGAACCAGGAGTAACTGCTGATCATTGCTGGGTGTGACCCAAAAAGGAAAAACCACAACAACTAGTGATTCTGGCATTGGGGGCGATATAGTGGTTTTGCAAAACTCTTGGTTTGCTGTGTGGGAGTCCGACTCTGGTCTTGGTAGTACCCAGATTTCTGAGTAGAATCCAGGGTCCTGTGGTTAGGACTTGGACCTAACTAGCCCACTGTGGCCAAGCGAGTGTGTGACCCTTAGTCATCAAAATGACCAAGAGGGATGAGGATTCAAAGTCCTTGGGTTAGCACCATGCATGCTGCCATGAAGTGAGCTAACAGACCATCCCAAAGGCTCTTCAATTCTGGGACTGCATTGGAAATATTACAAAACTGTGACATGGGTTTACCTTTGACACCAGGAACACCCCGTTCACAACGGTGTTTGGGGCTTCCTGGCGCAGGTGACTGATTTTTGGAGTCTCAGTGACCATGTTGATCAGCCACTCAGGGACCTCTTCGTACCCCACCTTCTCCACCGAGGTGTATTTGTACACTTCCACGAACCCCCAGCGTCCGAAGTAGTGTGAGAGGACCAGAATGTTCCCAAGGACAAACTTTGTCTTGAAGCCCTCGTGGAAGATCTTCACACGGACGATCAGATTCTGTGCCTGGTTCTTTATGGCCACGATGGCATGGAACATAGTGCGGTCCTCACGGTACCTGAAGGACTCGGTCACGTCCAGCACCACCATCTCCTTACACTGATACTGTTGACCCTCCTCGGGGAAAGTGTCCACCAACCTGGATGCAGACTGCAAAGGAAGGCCAGACAGTGAGGCTGACTCTGACTCCAGGAGCAGAGACAGGCATCCTGGGGATGGAGGCTGAGATGGTGACGCACGGGAAAGAGCCGAGGAAAGCAGAGGAGATGGTGAGAACCCTGAGGCCTGTGGGCTTTCTTTCCTTGTTTCCCATGTTCTGGGTTTGGAAGGTGGGATGGGATGTTTTGCTTTCTCAAGGGTTAGGCCCAGAGGGAGGCAATTTTCACAGAGTCTGTATGGCCTGGCAAGTGTTGGAAAGTGGTTGTTATGGAGATGAGGAGCAAGAATTGCATTTTCAGATCCTTTGAGAAGTGAGCAAAGAGGGGCAAGACGATGGGGGAATCCAACCAGATGCTCCGAGGCCCTGGATAGGAGGCATCACATCACCGCCCCAGCACTGCAGAGCTGGAGCCCCCAGACCTCTGGCAAACCCCTTTTTCCAAGAGACCCTCGATTGAAGAGCAGCGGCAGCCCCCCAATCATCTTGAGGGGACGACCAGGGCAACCAGCACCATGAGTGTGTCATGCACTGGACGGCTGCCCATTCTTCCACAGAACCCCAATGCTGGAGGTCCCCATGACAGGAATTGGTGCTGCCAGCTGTGCAGGAGGGGGTGAGGTCCTGTCCTCAAGCCCCCTCCCGCAGACTTCTGACATGTCAGGATAAGGGTCTACATTTCTGGGGCACAGAACAAGGAGGCCGGAGCAGGCCCTGTGGACCCGGCTGTGTGTGCAGCAGGGAGGAGGAAGGTGGCTCTGGGTCGCAGCTGGGCAATGGATTCTGGAGCGATGTTCAGGACAGGGCAGAGAGCCAGGCTGTGGGCAGACAGGATGGGTGTGCAGAACCTGAGTGGCAGAGGCAGCCCGCAGTGGGCCCAGTGCCAATGGCATGGGGCTCAAGGGCTGGTGTGGGAACCCCCATTTGTCGCTCCCAGGGCACAGGACCATGACCCTGGGACAGGAGAAGCATCCACAGCTGGCGGGGTTTCAGGCAGACATGGCAGAGGCGCAAGCGACTTCATTGGGGTGAAGAAATGGAGAAGGGACGGGGATGAGCTCTGGGCTGATATAGGGTCCAGGACATGGTACCTGGGCAGAGGTCATAGTTCCGACTGATTAGGCGGGACTAGGACATAGTACTTGGGCCGAGGTTGTGGTCCCCACTGAAAAAGGGGAACCAGAACGCGGTACCTGGGTGGAGCTCGACCTCTGCGATGATAAAGGGGGAGTAGGATGTGATTTCTGGGAGGAGGACGAGCTCTGAACTGAGGATGGGGGGCCTGTACGTGTACCTGGGCAGAGGATGACCTCTGGGATGATGATGGGTGAGTAGGATGTGGTACCTGGGTGGAGGATGAGCTCTGGTCTGATGAGTGGGGACCTGGACATGGTCTCCGGGCGGAGGCTGAGCTCTGGGCTGGTGAATGGTGAGTAGTGGGTGATAGTTGGGTGGAGGGGCTGCTGATGGCAGGAGATGAAGAAAGGGGATGGAGCGAGGCTGCCTGAGGAGCTGGACACGGACCCTGCAGAGAACAGAGGAAATTCTTCCCCAAGGGCTCAGGATTCCCACAGGGCCTTGCTGTGACTAGGACCCACTCATTTCCACCCCTCACCCCTGCCATGATGATCTCGTGACCCCGTAGAAGTGCAGATCAGCCCGGAGCTCACCTGCACAGGTGAGTATTTGCTCCCAGAGGGAGGCTGCATGCAGTGGGGGCTGTCGGGGGTCTTGGCCACAAGTAACCCATCATTCATTCATGGGAGGTGGTACCTCAGTCTGGCCGCTGCTGGACAGGGACTCCTGAGGAGTCTGAACAGGCGTGGGGGTCAGGTTGGCTGCAGATGTTTCTGGAAAAGCTGAGCTCCGGGAACGACGCCTTTTCATGACCTGAAAGCATTATTTTCTTCTTAACATTGGATGAGACTCACCGTTCATTTCTGAGAACATCATGCTTGGAGGCCCTTAGCCCAGGCACGCACTCCCCTTTCTGCCTCTGTCCGGTGCCTTCAAGGGCAGGTTCTCTGTTCGCATGGAGGATCCTCCTGCTCTCTGGCACCACCGTCCACGAGGACAGGTGTTTTAGTTCCTTGTCCTTGCCCAGATACAGTGTTTTTCTCTCTACAGATGGGTTTGAGTCTTCCCCTATCCCACAACAGGGCCTACAGCATGGGCTTGATCAAGAAATGGACCACTGGGGCTGGAGCTATAGTACAGTGGGTAGGACATTTGCCTTGCAAGTGGCCGACCTGCGTTAGATTCCCAGCAACCCATAGGATCCCCTGAACACCGACAGGAGTAATTCCTGAGTGCAGAGTCAGGAGTAACCCCTGTGCATCGCTGTTTGTTTCCCAGAAAACAAAATAAATAAATAAATAAAAACCAAAAAACAAACAAAAACCCCAAAAAACTGTCAAGGGTGTGGCCACATGGAAACTTTGGTTTTTCTTTGTGTGTGTGTGTATGTGTGTGTGTGTGTGTGTGTGTGTGTGTGTGTGTTTGCTTTTTAGGTCACACTAACAATTCTCAGTGGTTCGTCCTTGCTCTGCACTCAGGGATTCAGGAACAACTCCTGGCAGTGCTCAATGATCCTATGGGATCTGGGGATTGAACCCGGGTTGGCTACGTGTAAGGCAAACTCCCTTCCTGCTGTGCTACCGCTCCAGCGACTTGTCTCAGCTTCTTACTTTTGGGACCAGACCTGGCAGTGCTTGGGGACACAGTGGTGTCAGGGACAGGCCCTGGGCCCCTGCACAAGGGAGCATGCACTCAGCCCTTGGTGCCGTGCCCCCTGGCCCATGCATTTGTCCAGCTCACCTGGATAAAACTGTCCTCCTCCGAGTACAGCGCTCTCTTCTGGTTGTGGATTTTCAGTCGAACGCCGAAGAGCCTGAGCTTATCTCCCTCGTGGCAGGGCAGGTTGCGGTACCGCCCTCTGCACATCACGTCCATGGTCCCTGTCTTGTCTTCGATTTCATACACTGTCTTGGTCTTCTCATTTGATATCTGCAAATCCAGCATGCCCTCAGCACCTGGGCGGAGATGTGAGCAGGTGGGTGGGAGAGGCGGAGCGCAGGACTCACCTTGCTTAGCGTGAAGAGGCCACTCAGCACTGTCCCCGACGCCAGCGTGTGCAGGGTGCGGATCTGGGGGCTTTTCTTGGCTTTTTCCAGAACAGTCCCTGGGACCCTGACTTCTTGCTTTACTTCAGTGACTGAAGACTCTCCTGTCACCTCCAGGAAGCCCTTGGCCCTGATGTAGTGGGATATGCACAGGACCTTCTTGCAGGCAAATCTGTCCTTTAGCTGGGGGTTGTAGACCTTCACAGGGAAGAACTTGGTTGTTGTGGCCACGGTGCTGTGGAACAGGCGCCTCTCCTCGCCACTCCGGGCTTTGATCACAAACAGCTTGGATACTTGCAGGACCTTCGCCAGTATTGGGGTCTCCTGGAGGATGTGGTTGCAGGGTTTTGCCTTGGGGGGTGCCTGGGGTCTTGCATCCTGGAGGGGGGTCATAAAAAAGAGGAAGCCTTTGCATTAAGGAGCAAAGATGCATAAATCTGTGAGCAACAGCAGGGGCCACCCCGGGACCCTGGCCAGCAGATGCAGGAGAGGGATAGCAGACAGGACATGGACAGGACCAGCAGGAGGACCTGGAGCATGAGGAATCAGCCTAAAGGGCTCGCCAGATGCGGCCCCAGAAGTCAAAACCAAGAAAAAGAAAAAAGGACAAGGAATGAGAAGCAAGAGCGAGGAAGAGGAACGTGAGACGAGGAGGGGGAGCAAGAAGGAGGGGTGAGGACAAGGAGCTCGAGGGACTGTGCAGGGCCACAAGAAAGTGCAGAAAGCAGGGTCCCCAGAGGTACTTAAGGGACAGAGGACAGCGGGGAACACATATGTAGTGGGGACAGAGGAGAGACGTGTAGCAGGGCCAGCGGGGAGACACAAGTGTAGCTGGGCCCAAACCCCTCTTCCAAGAGACCCTCAGTTGAAAAGAAGCAGGCCTCCAATCCTCTGGAGGGGACAGCTAGGGCAAACAGCACCGTAAGTGTGTCATGCACTGGACGGCTGCCCGTTCCTCACAGAACCCCAATGCTGGAGGTCCCATGACAAGAGTCGGGGCTGCCACCGATGCAGGAGGGGGTGAGGTCCTATCCCCAAACCCCTCCCCCATCTTCTGACATGCCAGGATAAGGGTCTACATTTCTGGGGCACAGGACAAGGCGGCGGGAGCAGGCACTCTGGACCTGGCTGTGTGTGCGGCAGGGAGGGGGAAGGCAGCTCTGGGTCGAAGCTGGGCGTTGGACTCTGGCGCGATGCCCAAGATGGGGCAGGGGTGCCAAGAGAGCCAGGCTGTGGGCAGACAGGATGGGTGTGCAGACCCTGAGTGGCAGAGGCACCCCCCAGTGGGCCCAGTGCCAATGTTATGGGGGCTCAAGGGCTGGTGTGGAAGCCCCATTTGTCACTCCCAGAGCACAGGACAGGAGAAGCATCCAAAGCTGCCGAGTTTCGAAGCAGACGTGGCAGAGAGCAAGCGACTTCATCAGGGAGAAGAAATGGAGAAGGGATGGGGGATGAGCTCTTGACTGATGAGGGGGACCAGGACGTGGTACCTGGGCAGAGGTTGTGCTCCCGTCCGACGAAGATGGACAAGGACTTTGTACCTGGGCAGGGGTCGTACTGCCATCTGATGAGGGTTGACAAGTACGTGGTACCTGAGCAGAAGTTGCGCTCCTGGCTGACGAGGGGGAACCAGGACGTGGTACCTGGGCCGAGGTCGTGCTCCCAGCCGATGAGGAGGGACCAGGACGTGGTACCTGGGCAGAGGTCCTTCTTCGGACTGAAATGATTTTTGAGAGAAGGTTTTGGCCTTTGAATTTAATATTTTATTTGTTTCTCTAATGCAACACCAGAAGTTTTAAAAAGAATTTCTTGGGGGTATGGTGCTGCCACCAGGTCAATCTGGACCTGTGAGGCGAGTGCATCAGCAGCCTGATGGCACTGTCAGGCTTCAGATACCCCAAAATTGCTGCTGTGCCTTTGGACAGACCCCAAAAACTTGGGGAAAAGTTTACCAAGAAAGTAAAAGGCCAAAAGTTAGGTATGTGGGAGACACACCCACAAACCACCTCCGGCTCAGCTATATAATTGGAGGCCTGGCCTCTCTGGTTCCTGATTGAACTGCTTAACGGCCATGATCCCAGAGACTCATAAATCAATCTTGTAACCCAAAAGCTTTTGGCAGAAATGCGTCCCGTTCCTGCAGTAGGTTACTGAGGCTGGGCCACTCCAGGTGGGAATAGGTTTCGTACCTTGACCTGTTCCCCTTGGTGGCCTGGAGACTGTCATCCTCCAGAGGCCACAAGATAGTCAGGTTTGGGCCTTCAGTGATGAGACACGCAGGGCCTCACCAGATGGGGGTGGAACCGGCCCTTTCCTCCCCATCCCAGCCAGACCTTGAGTCGCCGCCTACAAACGGCCTCTCTGGCTCCTGATCAAGCTGATTAATGGCCACGATCCCAGAGACTCAGAAACAAATCTCGAAACCCAGCAGCTTTTGGCAGAAATGCATCTGGACCACGTATACAGCCATGGCCCCAGAGGCAAAAGGACTTAATCCAGAGCCCAACAGCTTGTGGCAGAAAAGAAAATGGAGTATGCTTTAAACTACGGCACCATGCCTCCCCGGGAGGGAAAGGGTGTTGCTCTCTTCTGCCTTTCTCCCCCCTGGCAGCAAGGTGGCCGCCTCCTCAGAGCTTATTGGAAAGCCAGGTATGAGCTGGCAGTGACGGGGCAACTGCAGTCTCATGGGAAGAGGGGCGGTACTGGCTCGTCCTCCATGCCCTACCGAAGTCCTGAGTTGCCCCCCATGAGTGGCTCTCTGGCACAGCCATAACACCAGATGCACAGAAACCAATCTCTAAATTATCTGGCTCTTTGCAGAAATCCAAAATTGCGTGGCCACAATAGCGGTTGCACAGCATTATATGATTCTCATAACCATGCATGAAAGAACTGGCAGAGGAACCCAGGCATGCGGGTCCTGGGGATGAGGTCTCCAAGCCTACTCAGACTGGGACTGGGCCTTCTCCAACCAGACCCCCCATCTTGCAGTAGGTAGGCATCACACCCACCAGATACCGCCAGCTCCAAGCTGGTCCCATCAACGGCCAAGACGCAGAGACTATAAAACCCAGCTCCCGGAGGAGAACAGCGCAGAGTCTCCTGCCCCCCGCGCCCGCTGTCCTCACCGGGTCCCCTTGGAGGGGGGAGGGTTGAGTTTCTCTCCCCCCACCCCGCCCCGAGCAGAGCCCCAGCAGCTGAGGACCTCTGGAGCCAGCCACGGCCATGCTGGGACCACTCTCCACATGTCCGGACGGGCCTCATGCATTAAAGAACTGGCAGAGGAACCCAGGCATGCGGGTCCCCTGGCTGAGGTCTCCAAGCCTACTCAGATTGGGACTGGGCCCTCTCCACCCAGATCCCCCCCCATCTGCCAGTAGGTAGGCATCACACCCACCAGCTGCCACCAGCGCCAGGTTGGTCCCATCAATGGCCAAGACGTAGAGACTATAAAACCCAGCTCCTGGAAGCATGCAGCCGCATTTGCGGCTGCACGACATCTTATTATCTTATTTTTCCTTTGGAGAACCTGGCAGGCTACCAAAAGTATCCTGCCCACACGGTAGAGTCTGGTAAACTTCCCGTGTTGTACTCAATATGCCAAATACCAGTAACAATGATGGGTCTCATTCTCCTAATCCTGAAAGAGCATTGAAATGGCTCTTTTAAAATCTCAGGGCTAGCAAGAAGTAGACGTTACTGGTGCCTCCTCGAGGAAATTGACGAACAACAGGATGATTGTGATCGTGATCATAACCAACTATAGAAAATAAAGTATCTCACAATGCCTTTTCAGAAATTCCGATTGTTGGGGGGGGGGGAATTCTAAACAATAATGGTGCATCTTTTGTCGAAATGATGAATGTAATCAATGTAGAGAAGAGTTAAGTAGAAATCATCTGCCTCACAGGCATTGGGTGGGGTGGGAGGGGGGATATATTGGGGTTAATAAATAAAACTATGAAAAAAAAGTAAGGTGGAGTTCATGCCCAATTCAATCAGCTAATCAGTGGCTGAATAAATAGCAGTACTCCTACATTAAAAAAAAAAAAGAATTTCCTCCTACCTCAGAGGAAACAATGTATCATCCAACTATCTCCTGCAAACAATCATCCAACTATCTCCTCAATATCTTGGGAGGAAGAGATTATGGACAACAAGTCTTTATGGGGGTGCACACCTGGTGATACTCAGGGGTCCTCCTGGCTCTACACTCAGGAATCGCCCTTGGTGCTTCTTAGAGAGCCATAAGGGATACCGGGACAGAATCCAGATTGGTAAGTGCCTCTCCCACTGTCCCCTCTCTGTGGCCCAAGACTGGCCTTACTAGAGGAGTGAGTCAGGATTTGGGGAGAGTTCCGGGTGCTGCAGTGGGGGCTCACATGCAGGATGCCCAGGATATTTTCTAGATCACGTCAGCACACACCCACAACCATGTCCAGAAGGAGGTTTTGCGAACTACCAGATGTTTCTCCCACACCAAAAAAAAAAAAAAGATAAAATACAAGTATGTAAAGAAAAGAATCAAAATGTGGTTATTTAGTTTTGTTGTTTTCATTTCTTTTAATGTCCTGGCACCTGGGCCACCCCTTGACTCTCTTCCTTTTGTTTCCAGGCACCCCCCCGGACTCCTCATTGTGTTTACAGCGATGGTGGCATCACAGTAGCCCAAGGCCAGGAGCAGGGTTCAGAGGCCACGGGGACGAGGGGAAGAGTTGGGTGGGATTGCGCTTACCTTTCCGCAACTGCTGCTTCAAGGACTTGGCAAGATCTTCCAGTTCTCTGTCACCTTTAATAGCCTTGATGAGCTGGTTCACACATTCAGCTCCCGAGAACTGGTCAAAGATCCGGTTTGTAATCTGGATTCGGTCATAATCCTCCTGCATTTCCGGTGTCAGTCTTAGAGGTATGGCCAGTAAGCACTTGACTGCTTGGAACTGGTAATCACTGAGCTTCTCCAGCCCTTTCTTCAGGAAAATTTTCTTGTACTGCATCTCCATGTGTCTCAGAGAGAGCCTGGGAGAGGGACAGGTGTCACAGGGACTGGGCTGGCCTGACCCTTTCTGCCACCACCTGTTATGGACTCAGGGCCCAGCGCAGCCCTCACGTGAATGTGGGAGCGACAGGAGTGAGGTTTGTACCTAAGAGACAGGCCTTGCAGAGCACCCATGGGCGTTAGACCCTGCAGCCCACCGCCATGTAGTCAGCCTCACATCCTGGGGTGCCCTGTTGGGTGGGAGTAGGGGGTCATACTCTGCTCCATGCCCAGCATGTCCCCAGGTCTTGCCATTCAAAGGTTATCTTGGCTGGCTCTAAATTGTTTCTCTCAAGTGATTTTCCTGCTAGAAAGGCTGGTGGCTCCTGGCTGGAAGCCTCATGGACACCCCAACTTGGAGTTGCACCAGTGGGAGGCAACTGAGACCCAAAGAGATAGAGTGGGGCAGAGGCCCAGAGACCCGGGGGACTTAGAGATGTGTTGGAGCTTTTGCACAGGCCTCACTGGCAGACCTCAAGGTGTGGGTGGACGCCTGCCCCTGCTGTTTGCTGAGGAGTTGGCCCTCGCAGGTGGCAAACTAGATCCTGTTTTCTGGTTTCTTATGCAGGGTTATGATGGGCCGGGCGCTGTCATGGGTGCCCCCTCTCTCGGGACGGAACCATGGGGCTCAGTGCTGCAGTGTCTGCATATCAAGGACTGTCAGAGGTTTCAGTTCCCTCTGGGAAATGCCCTGTGGGTCCTTCACTGTGCTGCCAGCAGTGCCCAGCGGGGAGCTCATGGCCATCCTCCCAGACTGAGTCCATCCCCATGAGGCCAGAAAAGACACTTCCTGAGGAGGTGGAGGAGGCTCCCTGGAACTGGCTCCTGGTTAACAGGAGAGAGCGGAGAGTGGACAGGCCTCCTGGCTAGGTGGGAGATGCCCACTGGCCACCATGGAGGAATGTGGCGGGAGTGATCTCTCCTTAGCAGAGGGACCAGGGAAACAAGTGTCCCACCCCAGATTCCTGCCAGTCAGCCTTATGAAGGCAGGTCCCTGCTCAAATATACCCACGAATATCTGCAGAACAGGGGCTAGAGTGATAGCACAGCAGGGAGGGCTTTTGCCTTGCACACGGCCGACCCAGGTTTGATTCCCAGCATCCCCTTTGTTCCCCCCAGCACTGCCAGGAGTAATTCCTGTGTGCATGCGTCATCAGTGAACCCTGTGCATCCACGGGTGTTACAAAGGAAAAATAAATAAAGAAATAAATGACTGCATAAGTTTCAAGAGTTAACACAATTGTAAGATTTGCATCCTGAACTCCCTGTGACATGCCCATGCTGAAAGGCATGCCCAGCCCCTCAGACTCAGAAAAGTGTCCCCTGATTTCCTGGAGGATTAAGTGACCCTGTGGGAAGTAGCTTCTGCCAGGCCGAGTCCACTCTGGAACTGTGTTCTGGGTACGCAGCACCTTTTTTCCGGCCCTCTGCAATCCGCACCAGCTGTCCAGCCCTGCCTGTGCTATGACAGGACTCCTGGATCCTCCCCAATCCCAGAGCAATGCCCCAGTGTCTCCTGTGCCCCCGGAAGACCTAGCCCAGGCTGTTCTGAGCAGAGTCGCTCTTGGGAACAAGAGATGCTCACTGGGTTTCTCTGGCCTTGCTGTGTTGGGAGAGGGGGTGTCTGTGTGGGGCCCTGGGTGAGGCATGGACAGAGACAGCCCCTCTGCCCCTCCCTCACTGATGCAGCCCTTGCCCCTCCCTTCCTGCTCCCTCCCCCTGGTTTTGGGAGTTCTGGCAGGACTCACACTCTGTTGCTTGGTTCTTGGGTCTCCCAGCCCGAGGGGAACTGATGCATCTGAAGATGGCCAGAGAGGCAGGAGCAGAGTGGGTCAAGCAGGCCTGGGGCTTTGCTTCTGGGAGAGGAGACCAACCCCACCATGGTTTAGAATAAGCTCTGGGGTGGAGTGGGGGGGTGGCTCGTGTCTGCTCATGCCCAGAGTGTCCCCAGGGACCTCCGCAGCCCTCAGGGGCTGACTGGGCACTAGCTCCCCTGGGCCCTCTCCTTAGGACAGACTGCTCCTTGACATTCCCCCTTGGTGGCACGGAGGCCTGTCCACTCTCTGCCTCTCTCCTGTTTGCATGGAGCTAGTTCGAGTGAGCCTCCTTGTCTTCGTCAAAAGTGTCATCTCTGCCGCCAACCTGAGTCCATTCATCAGGACCATGGACTCAGGCTCGATGGCCCAGCCCTGGCCGCTTTGGGCACCTCGCCACGTCCCCACTGTATAGAACATTTTTGTGCCATGGGACTTCTTTCCAGAACCCTCCCTTCCCCCCATGATGCAGGATATGGCCTTCAGAGCGAAGAACTTAGCATTTGGACTAAGGGCCAGACCCAGACTAACATTTGAGTAAGCAGAATGTCTGGAAATCAAACGGAAAACCAGGTTCACTGACCGGGAACCAGGAGGGATTAGGAAAGAGAAAATGCTACCCAAACAGAGGGGCTTTACCTGGAAGGAACCAGAACCTCTGACAGTCCCTGAGATGCAGATGCAGCAGCACTGAACCCCACAGCCCAGTCCCGGGAGAGGGGCAACCTTGACAGTGCCCGCCCTGCACTGACCCTGAACAAGACACCAGGAAACAGGATCTTGTTTGCCGCCTTCGAGGGCCAACTCCTCAGCAGACAGCGGGGGCCACACCTCGAGGTCTTCCTGCCCACACCTTGAGGTCTTCCTGTGAGACCTGTGCAGAAGCACCAGCACTTTTCTGAGTCCTCCCGGGCCTCTGGGCCCCTGCCCCACTCTCTCTTTCTCTGGGCTTCAGAGCCCCTCCAGCCTCTTACAGGCGCAACGCTGGAACTGGGGTGTCCCTGAGACTTCCAGCCAGGAGCCTGCAACCTCTCCAGCAGGAGAATCACTTGAGAGGAGGATTTTAGAGCCAGCCAAGAGGACCTTTGCATGGCAAGAGCAGAAATAATTGGTGAAAAGGCAGAAGATTTGCAAAGCCTGCAATGGGAGACTCTTTGCTACGGCGTTATTATTATGCATTTTTTTTCCTTTTTAGGTCACATCTAGCGATGCACAGGGGTTCCTCCTGGCTCATGCACTCAAGAATTACTCCTGGCGGTGCTTGGGGGATGCTGGAATGCTGGAAATTGAATCAGGGCAAGGCAAATGCCCTACCCGCTGGCTATTGCTCCACTAATATGTATTTTTTAAAGGCAAACAAGGTCAAAGTCATTTTTAAAGGCAAACCGGGTCAAGGTCATCAGGAAGAGAGGGGCTGAGTTCATATGGCTAGTGTGCCAGTCCTGCTCGGAGAGAAAGAACGGGATGTGAGCCTCTGTGAAAGAGAAAGTTTTGAGACACCTTTGCAGAGAAAGAAAGTTGAAGTCCAGATGAAGTTTTGCAAATGGCGACAGAGAGACAGAGAGTGGAGAATCTGGATGGACCCAGGGGAGAATCCTACTTAGCTGAGTCCCTGTTCAAATGCACCCACAAGAATCTGCAGGAGGTTTAAGGGTTGACACGACCGTAAGATTTGCTTCCTGCAAGCAGAAATGAAACTGAACTATCTGAATGTGTGGCTCAAAGTGGATCCTGGGCAGGACCCAGAAATCTGCCCATTACTGAGGTGACCCTCACCCCGTGCTCAGGAAAGGGTCCCCTGGTCTCCCGGAGGATCGACAAGCGGCCCTGTGGGAAGGAGCTTCTGGTCTTCCGAAAGGCCCAGCTCAGGCTGCTCCAAGCAGAGTCTCCCCCTGGGGACAGGAGATGCTCACTTGGTCTCTCTGGCTCTGCTCTGGGTGGAGAGCAAGGGTCTAGTGAGACCCTAGGCGGGGTGGGGCAGAGACAGCCCCTCTGCCCCTCCCTTGGTGATGCAACCCCTGCCCCTCCCTCTGCCCGCCTCCTCCAGGAGGACAAGGGTCAGTTCCCCCCAAGTTCTATCTTCCGTGACTTCTGGCAGGACTCACCCTCTCCTGTGTTCTGGTGCCTGGGGCCCGGGTCTCCCAGCCTGAGGGGAACTGAGGTGGCGGTGGCTGAGGATGGCCAAAGTGGCAGGAGCAGAGTGGGCTCAGCAGGCCTGGGTGTTTGCTTCAGGGCGGAGGAGAGGGAGAGGGAGCTGGACCAGGCTGGGCCTAGCTGTGAGACCAAGTGCTGGCCTCCCCCTCTGAGGCTGACTCCTCCCAGTTGGGGCAGGAGTTTCGGTTTCCTGGGGCAGAGGAACTGAAGCGTTTCCCAAAATCCTGCCTGGCCCCATCCCCCGCCCTTCCTGTCAGCGCTTGCTGGGCTGAGGACACCTCCTTGGTTCTGGTGCCCGGGTCCTCGTGAGGGACCCTCCCTCCAGGGCCTGTGTGTCCCCCACCTCTGCTCATTCCTGTCTATTGGGGGAGACTCTGTGTCTGCGTGGGGCGGGAGGACAGGTCTGCTCGATGGTTCTGCTCCCTGCACATGGGGTTGTTCTCCCTCCCGAGGGTCCCTGGGAACAAGGGCGTCCCCCAAAACCTCTTCAGGGCTGCAACCTGCAGGAGGACTTTCCTAGTCAGAGAACCCCAGGACTTATGATTTATGCGCTGACCCTGAGGTGGCTGCTGGACTGACCTGAACACTCTTATTGGTGCTATAGTGTTCCTCACCCTTTGCCTCAACACTGTGCCGCTTATGCTGTGGTCTCAGCTTGTGCCCCTCACAAACCCCTTACTCTGCCCCCTTCCCTGGGTACCGCACCCTGTGCACCACCCCCTCACCATGTCCCCCTCTGCCCTGTACAACACCGAGTATGCCCCCGTCTATTCCCCCCTGTAACCACTGGGGGCATCAGCTACCTCCTCCAGACTCTCTTGTCCAGGAGACCAAACACTTGTTTATTTACTTATTTATTTACTTATTATTTTTTGCTTTTTGGACCACACCTGGTGATGATCAGGGGTTCTTCCAGGCTCATGCACGCAGGAATTACTCCTGGCAGTGCTCAAGGGACCCTATGTAATTCTTGAAATCAAACCCGGGTCTGCTGCGTGCAGGGCAAAGGTCGTTCCCGCTATGCTATTGCTCCAGCCCAAAATACTCGCCTTTAGCACAGGAATTTCAGTCCAAGTTACTTCCTGAGGCAGGAGCGCGAGCAGGCAGGTAGCAGGCAAGGCCCTTCCCTTGCGGACAGATGACCCAAGTTCAATCCCCGGCTCCCCTAATAGTCTCCCAAGCTGAGCCAGAAGTGATTCATCACACAGAGTCGGAGACCTGAGCATCGCCCCCAAATTCAACTCACTTCCTGAGCTTGATGGAAGCAAACGCAGGATGGAGAGAAAAATACAGGCACAAAGGGAAAAGGCTTTCATTTGTAAAAAAACAATGGCATTCAGTACTAGACTGAGGGGTGCTGAGCTCCAAGCTTATGGTCGACTCTGTGCTGTGGTCCCTCTGCCCGGGCGTCGCGGCCAGTGTCACTGTCAGCAACTCGGTCAGTGCCGAGGCCGGTGTTACTGTCAGCATCAAGGTCAAGACCATGGTCAGCGTCATGTCAGCGTTGTGTTCAGCATGAGGGGCTGCTGTGGTCAGTGTCCACGTGGTGGTCAGCATCGCGGTCAGCAGAGTACGTGGGCTCGCCATGTCTGTGCTGCTCCTGTCCTAGATCACCTTGGGGAGGGGAAGGACACCTGAGCGTCTCCTCCTCCGCCCCTGTCCACGTGTGTCCTTCCCTCAGAGCCTGGCCCCCACGTGGTGCTGTCCCTCCCTGTGTATTGTTGAGGTCCCTGAGCAGGGTGGAGGCGGGGTCCGACTGGGAGGAAAGGTGGGAGAGGGTCAGGCCTCAGGGGAGCTGGATGGTGCTTGAGGAGAGGGCGGGGGCGGGGCAAGGGTGGTGCCTGCGTCCTAGTGCTCTGTGGTGGGTCTCCTTGCGCTGAATATACTCTGCTGTGTTAGGTCATCCCCGGCCCTCACCCGGTGAGTGTGTGCTGGGGACCCCCATCTGCTGTGGGTCCCACCAGAGGTGGCGCTTGGTGATCTGGGTGCCCAGGGACCCTGGAGCTCTTGTCAGCATCCTGAGAGGGAAGTTTCTCCTCATTTCAGAGACAGGAGACTGAGGCCTGGCATCTGCTTTCCTCAGTGACACTGGAATACGGGTGCCTTGAGACCCCAAACTTCTGCCACTGTTGCTGTGATAAATGCCCAAATAGTTGGCATCTCGCTGCCAAAGGGCCCTCAGAGGTCCCTCTCCTCACCAAGATTAAGATTTTCTCAAGTGCCTTCACAAGAGGCAGGCAGAGAGTGGGGGTGGGGGTGATGGGAGGGGGCTGGGGAAAGCACACAGGTGGAGGAATGGGTGTTAGAACTCTGTGTGGCTGAAATTCAATCACGAATGTCTTTCGAATGCTCTAAAAATAATTTAAAAATTTAAAAAATTTAGGAGTTATCGTACAACAGGCAGGGTGTTTGCCTGTGTACAGCCGATGCGAGCTCCATCCCCAGCATCCCATATGGTCCCAAGACCTCAGGCATCCCAAGCACTGCCAGAAGTAATTCCTGACGGTAGAGCTAGGAAGAACCCCTGATCCAAAGAGTCAAAAAATATTTTTTAAAATCCTTTACTCCGGGCCCGGGTGGTGGCCCAGCAGGCTGGGCACAAACTTTGCCTGCGGGAGGCTTGGATTCTGTCCCCTGGATTTCCAGGTCCCAAAGCCCCATCAGCAAGTCTCAAGCTCTGAGACAGGAGGGGCTCCCGAGCACTGCCAGGTGTGACACTTAGGGCTAGAAGGAAAACCGTTCTGTCTGGAATAGGAAAAGAGCAAGGATGGAGCGGGGCTCTCCGCCCTGATGGAGTGCTGTAGTAGCTGCCTCACAGTTTAGGGACGGCCAAGCAGTACTCAGGGGAATGTGATTCTCGGCACTGGCTCGAGCCGGGCATTGCTGGGCCTGCTGGTGCTTGGGTGTTTCCAGGGATCAAACTTGAGATCTGTGCCCAAGGCTTGTGATCCAGCCCTTGGCCCTTCTCCCTGTCCCCATATCAAGATTCAAAGTTCTACTTTGGAAGGATAAAGTTCCCCAACTTCCCACCTTGAGAAAGCTGTGGATCGAAGATCTTAACTGGTGCTGCTCTTCTCCTCGCTCAAAGCAGATGAGTTGGATTCTGTTGCCTCTCTCACAGGGGATGCCGGTCAGATGTCCGTACACCACCACCTGCATGGTGCCTGTCTCATCCTGGACCTCGTAATAGACACATGGGTGCCGCACAACTTTCTGAAAGACAGAGTGGGCATCCGCCCGATGACAGGGAACCCTGGGAAGAACCGATGTCTCCACAACTGAGGAGGGGCCACCCCGAGCTTCAACTATTTTATGGAGGAGAACCCCCCCATTTTTAACCCCTAGTGGTTTCCCTTCTTTTTGGGTCATGCGGGTGATGCACAGGAGTTAATCCTGGCTCATGCACTCAGGGATTACTCCTGGCGGTGCTCGAGGGACCATATGGAATTTTGAGTATTGACCTGGGTCGGCCGCATGCAAGGCCAATGCCCTCCCTGCTGTGCTACTGCTCCAACTCCCAGTTTATCTTCTTCAGGTGTGTGTCTGCAAGTTCCTGAAGGACTATGGGTGAGGGGCTGACATTTGCTGAGGGGCTGGGCACAAATGGCTGTGGGGAGCCCAGAAGAAAGTCAATTCACGCCATCCTGTCCTGGGGAAAGGAGGCTGTGGTGACTTCCTGTTTCTCTGTCATCTTCTCTGCTTTACTCCTTGTTCTCCAAGGACCCCCAAAGCCAAGCCTTTCACCTCGGTCCCTTTGTGCTGATCTCAGTTCTCTCCTCACTAATTATGCAAAAGCATGTGTGTTCGTTCCCTTCCAGAGGCCAGAAAGAAGCGATCTCACACGGCAAGGGACAGGTCCTCATGGGATATGGGAAGACAAGGCTGGGGGTTGAGGACTGGCCTGACACGTCCTCAGAGGAGAACATGCAAGACGCTTCTCCTGCTCTGAAGAAGGCTCCCCCATTTTATTGGACCCATGAGTCCTATGACTAGGAACTTAGTTGACTGACTACAAGTTAAACTTGTGATTCTGGGGCTGGAGTGATAGAACAGTGGAGTGGCAACATTTACCTTGCATTTGGCCAACTTGTGCTCAATCTCCAAAATCCCATTTGGCTTCCTGAGCACCACCAGGAAAAAATTCTTGAGTGCAGAACCAGGAGTAATTGCTGATCATTGCTGGGTGTGACCCAAAAAGGAAAAACCACAACAACTTGTGGTTCTGGCAGTGGGGGTGATGGAGTGGTTTTGCAAAACTCTTGCTTTGCTGCATAGGAGTCTGACTCTGGTCTTGGTGATGCCCAGATTTCTGATTAAAGTCCAGGGTCCTGTGGACTTGGGCCCAATTAGCCCTGTGTGGCCAAGCGAGTGCATGACCCTTAATCATCAAAACAACAATGAGGGATGAGGATTCAAAGTCCTTGGGTTAGCACCATGCATGCTCCCATGAAGTGAGCTAACAGACCATCCCAAGGCTCTTCAATTCTGGGACTGCATTGGAAATATTACAAAACTGTGACATGGGTTTACCTTTGACACCAGGAACACCCCGTTCACAATGGTGTTTGGGGCTTCCTGGCGCAGGTGACTGATTTTTGGATTCTCTGTGACCATGTTGATCAGCCACACAGGGACATCTTCGTACCCCACTTTCTCCACCGAGGTGCATTTGTACACTTCCACAAAACCCCCGTGGCCGATGTAGTTTGAGAGGACCAGAATGTTCAAGGGGAGAAAGTTTGTCTTGAAGCTCTCATGGAAGACCTTCACACGGACGATCTGATTCTGTGTCTGGTTCTTTATGGCTACGATGGCATGGAACATAGTGCGGTCCTCGTGGTACCTGAAGGGCTCGGTCACGTCCAGCACCTGCATCTCCTTGCGCTGATCCTGTTGGCCCTCCTCTTGGAAAGTGCCCACCAACCTGGATGCAGACTGTGAAGGAAGGCCAGACAGTGAGACCGACTCTGACTCCAGGAGTAGAGATGGGCATCCCGGGGCCTGAGGCTGAGATGGTGACGCGCGGAAAAAGCCAAGGAAAGCAGAGGAAATGGTGAGAACCCCGAGGCCCATGGGATTTCTTTCCTTGTTTCCCATGTTCTGAGTTTGGAAAGTGGAGTGTTTTGCTTTCACAAGGGTTCAGCCTAGAGGGAGGCATTTCTCACAGACCCTGGTTGGCCTGGCATGTGTTGTGAAGTGATTGTTGCGTGATGAGGAGCAAGAATTGCATTTTCAGATCCTTTGAGAAGTGAGTAAAGAGGGTCAGAAGGTGGGAGTCAAACCAGATGTTCCAAGGCCCTGCATATCAGCACATCACCTCCCTCCGCACTGCAGAGCTGGAGTCCCCAGACCTCAGGCAAACCCCTGTATCCAGGAGACCCTGGGTTGAAGAGCAGCGGCAGCCCCCCAATCCTCTGGAGGGGACGGCCAGGGAAAGCAACACCGTGAGTGTCATGCACGGAACGGCTGCCCGTTCCTCCACAGAACCCCAATGCTGACATGCCAGGACATGCCACAGAACCCCAAGACTCCTGACATGCCAGGATAAGGTCTTCCTCCCCAGTAGCCCGGGCACGGGACAAGGAGGTGGGAGCAGGCACTGTGGACACGGCTGTGTGTGTGGCAGGGCGGGGAAGGCAGGTCTGGGTCAGAGCTGGACATTGGATTCCAGAGCGATGCCTAGGTCGGGGCAGGGATGCCAAGATATCTAGGCTGTGGGCAGACAGAATTTGTGTTCAGACCCTGAGTGGCAGAGGCAGCCCCTGTGGTCCCAGTGCCAATGGTATGGAGGCCCAAGGGCTGTAGTTGGAACCCCAATTTTTTGCTCCCAGAGCACAGAACAATGACCCTGGGACAGGAGAAGCATCCCCCGCTGGCGGGGTTTCAGGGCTGACATGGTAGAGGAGCAAGCGACGTCATCGGGGAGAAGAAATGGAGAAGGGATGGGGTATGAGCCCTGGACTGATGAGGGGGACCAGGACTTGGTACCTGGGCAGAGGTCGATCTCCCAGTTGACGAGGACGGACCAGGACGTGGTACCTGGGAAGAGGTCGTGCTCCCGGCTGATGAGAGGGGGCCAGGATATAGTATTTTGGCTGAGGTCTTGCTCATGGCTGTTGAGGGGAGACCAGGACCTGGTACCTGAGCCGAGGTCTTGCTTCCGGCTGATGAGGTGGGACCAGGACATGGTACTTGGGCAGCGGTCATTTTTCTGGGTGATGATGGGGGACCCGGATGCAGTACCTGGGCTGGAGTCATGCTTATGGCTGTCAAGGTGGGACCAGGACATGGTACCTGGGCAGAGGTCAATATCCCAGTTGACGAGAATGAACCAGGACGTGGTACCTGGGCAGAGGTCGTGCTTCCGGTGGATGAGGAGGGACCAGGACGTGGTACCTGGGAAGAGGTCATGCTCCCGGCTGATGAGAGGGGGCCGGGATATAGTATTTTGGCCGAGGTCTTGCTCCTGGCTGATGAGGGGAGACCAGGACCTGGTACCTGAGCCGAGGTCTTGCTTCTGGCTGATGAGGCGGGACCAGGACATGGTACTTGGGCAGAGGTCATTCTCCTGGCTGATGATGGGGACCCCGGACGCAGTAACTGGGCCAAGGTCGTGTTTATGGTTGTCAAGGTGGGACCAGGACATGGTACCTGGGCCGAAGTTGCACTTCCGGCTGATGATGGGGGACCTGGACGTGGTACTTTGGCCGAGGTCGTGCTCCCGACTGATGAAGGAGTACCAGGATGTGGTAGCTGGATTAAGTTTGTGCTCCCAGTTGATGAGGGGGGACCAGGATTTGGTAGTGGGATAAAGATTGTGCTCCCAGCTGATGAGGGGGGACTAGGATTTGGTAGTGGGATAAAGATCGTGCTCCCAGTTGATGAGAGGGGACCAGGATTTGGTAGTGGGATAAGGATGGTACTCCCAGCTGATGAGGGGGGACCTGGACATGGTACTTTGGCCGAGGTCGTGCTCCCGACTGATGAAGGGGTACCAGGATGTGGTAGCTGGATTAAGTTCGTGCTCCCAGTTGATGAGGGGGGACCAGGACACAGTAGCTGGTTGGAGGTCATACATCTGGCTGATGAGGGGTCACCAAGACGCGGTACCTGGGTGGAGCTCGACCTCTTGGATGATGAGGGGGGAACAGAATGTGGTTTCTGGGGAGTGGATGAGCTCTGGACTGACGAGTGGGGGCCTGTACGTGGTACCTGGGCAGAAGATGACCTCTGGGATGATGATGGGGCACCAGAACCTGTTTGCCGGGTGGAGGCTGAGCTCTGGGCTGGTGAGTGGTGGGTCACAGGTGGTGACTGGGTGGAGGGGCTGCTAGTGGCAGCTGCAGGAGCTGGAGGAGGGAGATGGAGCAAGGCTGCCTCCAGGGGAGTCCTGGCTGCCTGAGGAGCTGAACGCGGACCCTGCAGAGAACAGAGGAGATTATTCCCCAGGGGTGCAGGATTCGCACAGGGCCTTGCTGAGACTAGGATCCACAGATCTCCGCCCCCCACCCCCACCGTATGGATGCCATGACCCCGAAGAAGCCAGGGTTGCAGATCAGCCCGGAGCTCACCTGCATAGGTGAGTGTTTCCTCCCAGAGGGAAGCTGTGTGCAGTGGGGACTGCCGGGGTTCTTGGCCTTGGGTAACCCCATATATCAGACATGGGAGACGGTACCTCAGTCTGGCCGCAGATGGACAGGGGCTTCTGAGGGTTCTGAACAGGCGTGGGAGGCAGGTTGGCTGCAGATGTTTCTGGAAGAGCTGAGCTCTGGGAACGCCGCCTTCTCTTGGCCTGAAAGTGTCATTTTCTTCTTAACATTGGATAAGACTCATCATTTCATTTCTGAGAACATCGTGCTCGGAGGCCCGTAGCCCAAGCACGGACTCCCCTTGCTGCCTCTGTCCAGTGCCTTCCAACAGAGGAGAGACACACGTGTAACAGGGGACAGAGAGGAGACATACATGTAGGGAAGACACACATGTAGCAGGAGAGAGGGGAGACACACGTGTAGCGAGGCAGAGGGGGAAATTCTGGCATGCTGGGCCCTGCTGGAGGAACTCTCATGGCCGAGAATCTCATTTGGAGAACGGCTTCACTTCAGTTCAAGGCCATGGGCCAGACTTTCCCGCCATGACTCCAGGATCTGGGCAGGGGCCTAACGCACCTGGGCTGAGGCTACCGAGGATGGATCCGGGGCAGAGGTTGGTGACGGGGGGTTCCTGGGGGCGCACGGCTGTGCTCCAGCTGCAGCAGGGGGGTCCTTGGGGGCACCATATGCTGTGCTTCTGTGGGGCTCGCTTTGTTCTTGAGCCCATGTATTCTCTTCCTGGAAGGAGAGAGATGTGAGTGGCTTTTGTACCAGAAGGAGTTGGCTTCCTCTGGATCGAGCTTTCTCTGGACCCAGGTCGCGGCTCTGCAGGTACCCACAGTCCTCACTGCTGACCTGGGCCCTCGGAGGCTCTGCTGCTCTTTGGGCTTCTCCTGGGCCACTTGAGCTGCACTCAGATGCTGAGGGGCCCACCCTGGGCACCTGCTTCTTTCTCTTTGGTGCTGCTGCTGCTCTCTCTGCGAATCTCTTTCTCACTGAGAAATAGGAGAACGTGTAAGTATGCGTGGTCAGGCCTCGATGGCCTCAGTATCAGGTCAGCCCAGGGAGACCACCTTGCTCCACACAAACCCTGGCCCGTAGGACTTTCTGCGAGTGAACACCACACCCGTCCATGTGTTCATCTGCCACCCGTCTGTCCATCCCTCCCTTCTTTCATCTGTCCATGCATCTGTCATCTATCCTTCTGCTCATCCATCCATCCATCCATCCATTTGTCCATGTGTCCATCTGCCCATCCACCCTTCCACCTGTCCATCTGTCAAGTGTCCATCTGTCTCTGCAGCCCTAGTCCAGCAACACCCACTCCTGCCCGCTGGCATGCCCTACAGACTCAGGCCCTTGGGTGTCACTCTGGGTATAGTGTTAAAAATGTATAAGTAGAAGTGATTTCTGAGAGAAGTTTTGGCCTTTGAATTGAATATTTTGTTTGTTTCTCTAACCCTGTGGGCTGGAGCGATAGCACAGCAGTAGGGCATTTGCCTTGCACGCAGCCAACATGGCCCACCCGAGTTCGATTCCTCCGCCCCTCTCGGAGAGCCTGGCAAGCTACCGAGAGTATCTCGCCCGCATGGCAGAGCCTGGCAAGCTACCCGTGATGTGCTTGATATGCCAAACACAGTAACAACAAAGTCTCCAATGGAGATGTTACTGGGCCCGCTCGAGCAAAACGATGAACAACGGGAGGACCGTGACCGTGACCATTTCTCTAACCCAAACCCAAGGTTTCAAAGACAATTTCCTCACCTCGGAGGAAACAATCTATCACCCAACTATCTCCTCCAAATGATCATCCAACGATCTCCTCAACATTTTGGGAGGAGGAGATGGTGGGGAATAGGTCTTTATTGCAGGCCACGCTGGGTGATGCTCAGGGGTTTCTCTTGGCTCTGCACTCAGGAATCACTCTTGGTGGTTCTTAGGGAGCCATATGGGATAGCAGGACAGAATCCAGACTGGCCACGTGCAGACCATGCGCTTCTCCCACTGTCCACTCTCTGTGACCCCAGAACAGGCCTTACTAGAGGAGTGAGTCAGGACCTGGGGACAATTCTGGGTGCTGCAGTGGGGGCTCGAATGCAGGCTGCCCAGGATCTGCCCTAGACCACGTCAGCACACACCCACAACCATGTCCAGAAGCAGGTTTTGCGAACTACCTGATGTGGCCCCGGAAAACAAAGAGGAATTGACAAAATGCAAGTATGTAAAGAAAGAATCAAAGTGTGGCTATTTTTTTCTGTTTTGAGTGTTTCTTCTTCTTCTTTTTTTTTAATGTCCTGGTTTTGGCATATTGAATACACAACGGATATGCCAAAACCAGGACATTAAAAAAAATGGTCAGACTTCTTTATCAAGATCGTGAACAATTGGTTTAAGGCTCTTCGTGTTCCTAGAATGAACAGACGCCATTGGGCTACACGACAGGGACAAGTGGAGACGTTACTGGCGTCTGCTCGAGCAAATCGACGATTAACGGGAAGTCAAGTGATCAATGTCCTGGTGTCTGGGCCATTCCTTGACACTCTTCCTTTTGTTGCCACGCAACCCCCTGGACCCATAGTTGTGTTTGCAATGACGGTGGCATCACAGTGGCCAAAGCCAGGAGCAGGGCTCATGGGGCCATGGGGACGAGGGGGAGAGTTGGGTGGACCTGCGCTTACCTTCCCCCAACTGCCGCTTCAAGGACTTGACAAGACCCTCCAGTTCTCTGTCGCCTTTAATAGCCTCGATGAGCTGCATCACACATGTAGCACCCAGGAACCGGGCAAACATCTGGGTTGTAATCTGAATTCTGTCATAATCCTCCTGCATGTGGGGTGTCAGTCTTAGAGGACTGGCCAGTAAGCACTTGACTGCTCGGAACTGGTAATCACTGAGCATCGCCAGCCCATTCTGGAGGAAGATTGTCTTGTACTGCGTCTCCATGTGTCTCAGAGAGGAGCCTGGGAGAGGGACAGGTGTCACAGGGACTGTGGGCCGGCCTGACCCTTTCTGCCACCACCTGTTATGGACTCAGGGCCTAGTGTAGCCGTCACTGGAATGAGGGGGTGACAGCAGTGAGGTTTGGCCCAGGAGACATGCCTGGTAGAACACCCGTGGGTGCCAGACCCTGCCGCCCACATCAGTGTAGTTAGCCTCCACCTCCCAGGGTGCCCTGTTGGGTGGGAGTGGGGGGTTCATTCTCTGCTCAGTGCCCAAGATGTCCCCACGTCTTGCCATGCAAAGGTCATCTTAGCTGGCTCTAAAATCCTCCTCTCAAGTGATTCTCCTGCTGGAGAGGTTGCAGGCTCCTGGCTAGAAGCCTTGGGGACACCCCAAATCTGGAACTGAGCCTGTGGGAACTGGAGGGGCCCTGGGGACTCAGAGAGAGAGAGAGAGAGAATGAAGTGGGGGGCCCAGAGGCCCAGGGGACTCAGAGAAGTGCTGGTGCTTCTGCTCAGGCCTCACAGGCAGACCTCGAGGTGTGGGTGGACGCTTGCCCCTGCTGTTTGCTGAGGAGTTGGCCCTCGCAGGTGGCAAACTAGATCCTGTTTTCTGGTTTCTTATGCAGGGTTATGATGGGCCGGGCGCTGTCATGGGTGCCCCCTCTCTCGGGACGGAACCATGGGGCTCAGTGCTGCAGTGTCTGCATATCAAGGACTGTCAGAGGTTTCAGTTCCCTCTGGGAAATGCCCTGTGGGTCCTTCACTGTGCTACCAGCAGTGCCCAGCGGGGAGCTCATGGCCATCATCCCAGACTGAGCCCATCCCCATGAGGCCAGAGATGACACTTCCTGAGGAGGAGGAGGAGGCTCCCTGGAACTGGCTCCTGGCTAACAGGAGAGAGCGGAGAGTGGACAGGCCTCCTGGCTAGGTGGGAGAGGCCCACTGGCCACCATGGGGGAATGTGGTGGGAGCGATCTCTCCTTAGCAGAGGGACAAGGGAAACAAGTGTCCCACCCCAGATTCCTGCCAGTCAGCCCTATGAAGACAGGTCCCTGCTCAAATATACCCACGAATATCTGCAGAACGGGGGCTAGAGTGATAGCACAGCAGGGAGGGCTTTTGCCTTGCACACGGCCGACCCAGGTTTGATTCCCAGCATCCCCTTTGTTCCCCCCAGCACTGCCAGGAGTAATTCCTGTGTGCATGTACCATCAGTAAATCCTGTGCATCGATGGGTGTTACAAAGGAAAAATAAATAAATAAATAAATAAATAAATAACTGCAAAAGGTTCAAGACTTAACACAATTGTAAGATTTGCATCCTGAACTCCCTGTGACATGCCCATGCCGAAAGGCATGCCCAGCCCCTCAGACTCAGAAAAGTGTCCCCTGATTTCCTGGAGGATTGAGAAGTGACTCTGTGGGAAGTAGCTTCTGCCAGGCCGAGTCCACTCTGGAACTGTGTTCTGGGTACGCAGCACCCTTTCTCAGCCCTCTGCACTCTGCACCAGCTGTCCAGCCCTGCCTGTGCTATGACAGGACTCCTGGACCCTCCCCAATCCCAGAGCAATGCCCCAGGGTCTCCTGTGCCCCCGGAAGACCTAGCCCAGGCTGTTCTGAGCAGAGTTGCTCTTGGGAACAAGAGATGGTCACTGGGTTTCTCTGGCCTTGCTGTGTTGGGAGAGGGGGTGTCTGTGTGGGGCCCTGGGTGAGGCATGGACAGAGACAGCCCCTCTGCCCTTCCCTCACTGATGCAGCCCTTGCCCCTCCCTTCCTGCTCCCTCCCCCTGATTTTGGGAGTTCTGGCAGGACTCACACTCTGTTGCTTGGTTCTTGGGTCTCCCAGCCAGAAGGGAACTGAGGCGTCTGAAGATGGCCAGAGAGGCAGGAGCAGAGTGGGTCAAGCAGGCCTGGGGCTTTGCTTCTGGGAGAGGAGACCAACCCCACCATGGTTCAGAATGAGCTCTGTGGTGGAGTGGGGGGCTCGTCTCAGCTCATGCCCAGAGTGTCCCCAGGGACCTGCGCAGCCCTCAGGAGCTGACTAGGCACTAGCTCCCCTGGGCCCTCTCCAAGGAGAGATTGCTCATTCCCCCTTGGTGGCACGGAGGCCTGTCCACTCTCTGCCTCTCTCCTGTTTGCATGGAGCTAGTTCGAGTGAGCCTCCTTGTCTTCGCCAAAAGTGTCATCTCTGCTGCCAACCTGAGTCCATTCATCAGGACCATCAACTCGGGTTCGACGACCCAGCCCTGGCCGCTTTGGGCACCTCGCCACGTCCCCACTGTATAGAACATTTTTGTGCCATCGGGCTTCTTCCCAGAACCCTCCCTTCCCGCCATGATGCAGGATATGGCCTTCAGACCGAAGAACTTAGCATTTGGACTAAGGGCTGGACCCAGACTAACATTTGAGTAAGCAGAATGTCTGGAAATCAAACGGAAAACCAGGTTCACTGACCGGGAACCAGGAGGGATTAGGAAAGAGAAAATGCTACCCACACAGAGGGACTTTACCTGGAAGGAACCAGAACCTCTGACAGTCCCTGAGATGCAGATGCAGCAGCACTGAGCCCCACAGCCCAGTCCCGGGAGAGGGGGCACCCATGACAGCGCCCGCCCTGCACTGACCCTGAAGAGGACACCAGGAAACAGGATCTTGTTTGTTGCCTGTGAGGGCCAATTCCTCAGCAGACAGCAGGGGCCACACCTCAAGGTCTTCCTGCCCACACCTCGAGGTCTTCCTGTGAGGCCTGTGCAGAAGCACCAGCACTTTTCTGAGTCCTCCCGGGCCTCTGGGCCCCCACCCCACTCTCTTGTTCTCTGGGCTTCAGAGCCCCTCCAGCCTCTAACAGGCGCAACGCTGGAACTGGGGTGTCCCTGAGACTTCCAGCCAGGAGCCTGCAACCTCTCCAGCAGGAGAATCACTTGAGAGGAGGATTTTAGAGCCAGCCAAGAGGACCTTTGCATGGCAAGAGCAGAAATAATTGGTGAAAAGGCAGAAGATTTGCAAAGCCTGCAATGGGAGACTCTTTGCTACGGCGTTATTATTATGCATTTTTTTTCCCTTTTAGGTCACATCCAGCGATGCACAGGGGTTCCTCCTGGCTCATGCACTCAAGAATTACTCCTGGTGGTGCTTGGGGGATGCTGGAATGCTGGAAATTGAATCGGGCAAGGCAAATGCCCTACCCGCTGGCTATTGCTCCACTAATATGTATTTTTTAAAGGCAAACAAGGTCAAAGTCATTTTTAAAGGCAAACAGGGTCAAGGTCATCAGGAAGAGAGGGGCTGAGTTCATATGGCTAGTGTGCAAGTCCTGCTCGGAGAGAAAGAACGGGTGTGAGCCTCTGTGAAAGAGAAAGTTTTGAGACACCTTTGCAGAGAAAGAAAGTTGAAGTCCAGATGAAGTTTTGCAAATGGCGACAGAGAGACAGAGAGTGGAGAATCTGGATGGACCCAGGGGAGAATCCTACTTAGCTGAGTCCCTGTTCAAATGCACCCACAAGAATCTGCAGGAGGTTTAAGGGTTGACACGACCGTAAGATTTGCTTCCTGCAAGCAGAAATGAAACTGAACTATCCGAATGTGTGGCTCAAAGTGGATTCTGGAAAGAGCCCAGAAATCTGCCCATTTGCCCATTACTGGGGTGACGCTCATCCCGTGCTCAGGAAAAGATCCCCTGGTCTCCTGGAGGATCAACAAGCAGCCCTGTGGGAATGAGCTTCTGGTCTCCTGAAAGGCCCAGCTCAGGCTGCTCCAAGCAGAGTCTCCCCCTGGGGACGGGAGATGCTCACTGGGTCTCTCTGGCTCTGCTCTGGTTGGAGAGGGAGGGTCTAGTGAGACCCTAGGCGGGGTGGGGCAGAGATAGCCCCTCTGCCCCTCCCTGAGTGATGCACCCCTGCCCCTCCCTTCTGCCCTCCTCCTCCAGAAGGACAAGGGTAAGTTCCCCCCAAGTTATGGCTTCCGTGACTTCTGGCAGGACTCACCGTCTCATGTGTTCTGGTGCCTGGGTCCTGGGTCTCCCAGCCTGAGGGGAACTGAGGTGGTGGTGGCTGAGGATGGCCAAAGTGGCAGGAGCAGAGTGGGCTCAGCAGGCCTGGGTCTTTGCTTCAGGGCGGAGGAGAGGGAGAGGGAGCTGGACCAGGCTGGGCCTAGCTGTGAGACCAAGTGCAGGCCTCCCCCTCTGAGGCTGACTCCTCCCAGCTGGGGCAGGAGTTTCGGTTTCCTGGGGCAGAGGAACTGAAGCGTTTCCCAAAATCCTGCCTGGCCCCGTCCCCCACCCTTCGTGTCAGCACTGGCTGGGCTGAGGACACCTCCTTGGTTCTGGTGCCCGGGACCTCGTGAGGGACCCTCCCTCCAGGGACTGTGTGTCCCCCACCTCTGCTCATTCCTGTCTATTGGGGGAGAGTCTGTGTCTGCGTGGGGCGGGAGGACAGGCCTGCTCATTGGTTCTGCTCCCTGCACATGGGGTTGTTCTCCCTCCCCAGGGTCCTTGGGAATGAAGGCGTCCCCCAAAGCCTCTTCAGGGCTGCAACCTGTAGGAGGTCTTTCCTAGTCAGAGAACCCCAGGACTTATGATTTATGCTCTGACCCTGAGGTGGCCGCTGGACAGACCTGAACACTCTTATTGGAGCTATAGGGTCCCTCACTCTTTGCCTCAACCCTGTGCTGCTTATCCCGTGGTCTCAGCTTGTGCCCCTCACAAAGCCCTTACTCTGCCACCTTCCCTGGGCACCCCACCCTGTGCACCACCCCCTCACCATGTCCCCCTCTGCCCTGTGCAACACCCAGTATGCCCCCGTCTATTTCCCCCTGTGACCACTGGGGGCATCAGCTCCCTCCTCCAGTCACTCTAGTCCAGGAGACCAAACATTTGTTTTTCCTTTATTTATTTATTATTTTTGCTTTTTGGAACACACCTGGTGATGATCAGGGGTTCTTCCAGGCTCATGCACACAGGAATTACTCCTGGAAGTGCTCAGGGGACCCTATGTGATTCTGGGAATCAAACCCGGTCTGCTGCGTGCACGGCAAACGCCCTCCCCGCTGTGCTATGGGTCCAGCCCCAAACACTCGCTTTAAGCACAGGAATTTCAGTCCAAGTTACTTCCTGAGGCTGGAGCGCGAGCAGGCAGGCAGCGGGTCAGGACCCTTGCCTTCCGCGCAGCTGATGCGAATTCTGTCTCCTGAGCCCTGCCAGAAGTGATTCCTCACACAGAGTCGGGGACCTGAACACCGCTGGGGTGACCCCCGGCCCCAAATTCAACTCACTTCCCGGGCTCAATGGAAGCAAACACAGAAAGCATAGAAAAATACAGACACACAGAGAAAGGCTTTTATTTTTAAAAAAAAGTGTGATCAGGAGGCAGACTGCCCAGAGCATTGGCTGTCTCCTGGGACACACAGGGAGGCTCTGGTCTTTCAGGGACCATGGTGGCCCTAGTGGGGTGACATCATCAGCTGGACCTGCATGTTGACTTTATCGTGGAACCCTGGGTTCTTTTTTTTCTTGTTTTTTTTTTTTTTTTTGCTTTTTAGTCATATTTGGCGATGATCAGGGTTTCCTCCTGGCTTTGCACAGAGTAATCACTCCTGGCGGTGCTCAGGGGATCATATGAGAATAGAACCCGGGTGAGCCCCTTGCAAGACAAACGCCCTCTCCGCTGGAGTATTGCGCTTGGTCCCGCACCCTGGGCTCTTGGTTTACAAACTCTGGACCACCTGAGGAGAAATGAGAAGACCAATGAGACTTTGTTGCTGCCTGGGCTCTGGTGACCCCCGTCCCCCTACCAAAGTCTCCTTCCCCAGCTGATCCCCTTCTCCTCTCTCCCCATGCCCTTGGAAGCCTCTGCCCCTCTCTCTCCATTCCTTCTAGTTGGAATCCTTCACTCCATCGTCTGGAACCTGGTGTGCGTGTCCCGGGTCCAGCTCAGGAAGGTGGTGGCTGCCTCCAGGGCTGACCACTGGGAAGACTCTAAGGCTGACCTCAGCAGCTCCCTCCTGGTGGGTCTCCTGGGGGAGGGTCACAAAGTCTGCGTGTTGAGCCCACGGCCCCTGTCGCTGTGCCATGCGTGCCCGTGGCAGGTTCTAGTGGAGGGACTGTTGGACTCTTTTCTTGGATTCACGGCTTGAGCCCTTGCCGGGCACCTGGCTGGGTCTGCACGTCCTCCCTGCCCACGTGCCTCCCTCTCTATGGCAGCAGGTGGGCAAGCAGAGGAGCTGCTCGGTGTGTCACTACCGGTCTGCAACCGGACCCGAGCTGCGTGTTGGCCTCAGTGCTCAGACCCTTTCCCACAGATGACTTTTTTCCTGAGCTCGTCATATCCTTCTCCTTTACCTTGGTCTCTCTGCATTTTCTGAAATACCCAGAGACTCACCGCTCACTGTGTGTGTGTGTGTCTGTGTGTCTGTGTGTCTGTGTGTGTGTGTGTGTGTGTGCGCATGTGTGTGATTAAGGCATGACAGGCAAGGATGTGTACAGATTGAAGCATCCCTGGAAGAGCCTTACCTGGTCATATACTATTTTCCTGATTTGTTGCTGCATTTGATTTGCCCAATTTTGGGGAGATTTTGCATTGATGTTTATAAGAACCATTGATTTGTTTTTCTTATGTGTGTTTGGTTAGCAGACCGTGTCTGGCTAACAGTGTGAGGAAGTGTTCTTCAGTGTGTGTAATCTCCCACGGAGTACTCTTCACACACGCTTACGTGTGACAAAGCCAGGGTACATGGTCCCACCTCCCCTCCTGGCCCCTGACCCCTGCAGGCAGAGCACCACATACTGCTGGACACCCTTTGCCTCCCAAAGGTCTCGCGAGAGCCTTCACCTGCTGGGAAAACAGTCCTTACAGCAGGTGATGCCGCCTCTCTAAGGGGGTGTGCTGGGGGTAAAGATGAGTGCGCGGCCCCCCAGTAGCGCTGACATGCTCCTGGACTGTGAAGGCCCCAGGAAGCCAGTTCCTGACTCGGGGCGGCGGGAGGGAGCTGACCCTGCTCTGATCAGCCGTCCAAGCTGAGCTTCACTCCTCAATGATGAGGTGAGTGGACGGCACATGTTTGATGTCTTCTTATGTTTTCTTTTCTCATGTCTCTATCTCTATCTCTCTCTCTCTTTTGAAAGATCTTAAAATGGAATCACTGTGAGATAGATCCTTAGGAAGCTGTTCATGATCGGTTTCATTCGTACAGCGTTCCAACACCCATCCCCCTAGCACTGTACATTTCCCTGCACCAGTGTCCCAAGTTCCCTCCCTTCACCCCCATCCCCCAGAGCCTGCCTCAATGGCAGGCACTTTTTCTCTCTTTCTCTTTCTCTCTTCCTTCCCCTCTCCCTCTCCCTCCTTTTGGGCACTGTGGTTCTGCAGAAGCTCTTTAAAGCTCTCTGCAAGATGGGCACCAGGGCACTACTCTGGCGGTGTGTGGACAGAATTCCCGATACCTCAATACTGCCATTGACCCCCATGGAGAGCCCCCCAAAGCATCCCCACCTGGATGAGGCTGTGTTTCTCGCACATCAGGCTCGTCTTCTTTTTGACAGTGCTCACTCGGAGGCAGAAGAGCTGCAGCTGGTCCCCAGGCTCACAGGGAAGCCCGCACCACTGTCCACTCCCTACCACTTCAATGCTCCCTGTCTTATCCTTAATCTCGTAGATGGTGTTCTTCATGTCCTGTGTTTTCTGCAACAGAAGCGGGACATTTAGTTTCTAGAGGGTAGTGACCTCCCTGTGTGTGAGGAAGAGGTCATGTGAGCAGCAGGAAGAGGAACTGTGTGATGCGGGGACTCAGGCAGTCCCCATGACACCTGCACACCTTGATTTTCTCTGCTGCCATTCTAGTGCTTCTATGTGCTTTTTGAGTCACACCTGGGAATGCACAGGGGTTCCTCCTGGCTCAGGCACTCAGGAATTACTCCTGGCAGGACCGTATGGGATGCTGGGAATCGAACCCGGGTCGGCCACATCCAAGGCGAATGCCCTACCCACTGTGCTATTGCTCCAGTCCCGATCTGCTAATTCTTAATTTTCCTCCTTCCTGACTTCTACCCTAGGGGAGATTGGTTCCTTAAAACCAATCAGGGGAATTGGAAAGTCATGGAGGTATCTTTGGTGCCTGCCTGTTTGCAGAGATTATTGGGCTACCACTGTTCACTCCACAGACTGATTGCGAGAGTTTCTAGAACAAAGAAGGCCCACGGAGGTTTTTCCCTCTCCTCCCTCTTTCCTCTCTTCTCTGCCCTTTTTTCTCTGATATCTTATCCCCTTGGCCTCGGACCGGTGGGTCACATTTATACCTTTCTGAGGCTATCCCTGATCAAGTCCATGAGAGAGTGTGGGTGGGAGTGAATGGCAGCTAAGGGCAGTGTCGGAAAGCAGTGGAGAGCGACAGCCTCTTGGGACACAGAATGAGGCTCGATGCAGCAGGTCCTCTGGGAATGAGTCGTGATGTGTCTGCTAGGGAGGATTAAATAGATCCCAGCATCCTGTACCTTGAGTTGGCAAGTGAGCAAGTCAGTAACACTCTTGGCCTCTTTTTCTTTTTTGTGGGGGCTAGGGTGGGGTTTGGCCACTCCTGATGGTGCCCAGGGCTTACTCTGTACACGGGGATCACTTTTGGTGGTGCTCGGGCGTCAAACCGGGTGGGCTGCATGCAGTGCAAGTGCTTTACCCACTGTGCTGTCTCGCCAGCCTCCATCCCTTTGCCTTTTTATTTTGTTAGCACTATAGCACTGTCCACCCGTTCTTCGATTTGCTCGAGCGGGCACCAATAACGTCTCCACTGTGAGACTTGTTACTGTTTTTGGCATATCGAATGCGCCATGGGGAGCTTGCCAGGCTCTGCCATTTGGGCGGGATACTCTCGGTAGCTTACCGGGCTCTTCGAGAGGAGAGGAATTGAACCCGGTTCGGCCGCATGCAACGCAAATGCCCCAACCTCTGTGCTATGGCTCCAGCGCATATTTTGGTAAACAAGAGAATTTGCCAACCAGAGATCTTAACTCTCATGAATTTCTCTACTTTTCAGTACTCAAGAACCTGTTCGTGAAGAATCGGTGAATGAGTGTGTAAAGGAGGCAGCATCAAAAAGCTGCACGCTGTGCGTCCCTGTGAGAGCACAGCCCAGTCTGGCCAGAGTCCCACCCTAGTGGTGACTGGGACTGGTCATTTAAACACTGCACCCCCAGCCTGGCACGTGCTCTCAGGAGCAAGCTCTGTCCTGGCTGTGCAAGTAGAGACGGATCACAAGAGCAGGACATGACCCAGTCGACCTTTTGCAATAAATTCTCAGGGAGGCAGTCCCTGTGCCCCATGAGAAGTCTTCCTCTAGTCAGGAGGGAATGGAGGGTCTCTGTGAGTAGCACGTGGCCTGGGAGACAGGCAAGCAAGCACAGGTGCTGCTGGAGGTGGGGCAGAACCGTCACGCACATACCTTGACCACCTTGTACCGTCCATATACGGGTGTCCCTGACACAGCTTTGCACAGGTCGTCGATCTTGGGAGGCTCGCATGCCCTCTTCATGACGCTCTTTGGGACCTTGAGCCGGGCAATAGTGGGAGACACTATGGAGGTCTTACTGACCTCCAGGGTCCCTCTGCGCATAGAGTGACCAGAGATGGTGAGAACCGCGTTCTCTGTGAATAGGTGCCACGGAGTGTCGTCGAAGACCTTCACCCAGTAGAACTGACTTGCTGTGGCCACTGTGGCGTGGAACATTAAGGCCTGACCCTGTTCCATAAAATTGAAGACTTCGCTGCGTTCCAGCACCAGGACGGTCACGGGGCCCTGGGATGGGGTTTTTCTGCCTTCAGCGACCTTAGCTGTAGCTGACGGGCTCTGAATTTGGGATAGACAGAAACGGAGCAATAAACCTCCTGGCTGGAGCAGAGATGCAAGCTTGCGTTTCTACTTGGGCGATTTGCAGCTGGAGTAGGTAGCAGGGCTGGGAAAGGCTGCCAGGTGGGGGCTCAGAGTCTGATCTGAGAGTCCCAGTTGCAACAGAATCATCCCTGAATTAACATGGTACCAGTTAGAGCCTGTAAAGAATGGGTAGGTCCACCAAGTACTCAAAAGAAGAGTCAGGCGTACTGAGATGCCAGGGTTGAGCAGACGCCCTGCCTTAGTCCCCGCCCCGGCAGGGCACCCCAATGCTGCAGGGAGTGACCTCTGGGACTGGCCCAGGATGGTCAGGGAGAATCTGATTAGCAGCGTTGTTTGGAGGTGGCCAAGCCAAGTGACCAATGTCCCTGACTTGGGGGCCCCATTCCCAAGCAGGCTCATTTACACATGGGGAGTCAGGCCTGTATCACTGTCACTGGGTCACTGGGTCTGAGTATACCTCGGTCAAGGATGTGGAGGATGCCATGGACACTGAGCTTGGCATGGTTGGCAGGATACTTGGCTTGTCAAGTTGGAAGATCGGGGTGGCTGTTGGGTAGTTTTTGGTGTCTGGTGAGAAGCTCCCGGTGGCCGTTTGGGTTCTGGAAGGGCTGGCACCAACAGGATAGGGGGCCTTGCTGGACATCTGGGCCCCCTTGTTCTTTTTCACACCTTTTTCTCCTTCCGTGTTGTGTTTTCTTTTCTGGAAGTGATTACGTTTTCTCATGAATAGTCCCCAGCTCTCAAAGCACAGAAGTGGGGCTGGAGCAATAGCACAGGGGGGAAGGCGTTTGCCTTGCATACAGCCAACCTGGGTTCAATCCCCAGCATCCCATAGGGCCCTCCGAGCAAAGCCAGGGCTAATTCCTGAGTGCAGAACCAGGAGGAACCCCTGAGCATCGCCAGGTATGACCCCCACCAAAAATAAATAAAACCTCAGAACTTTGATTTCACTTGGTGACTTTTGTCTTGGAGAAACTTGAGGTCCACTATGGGGAACCCTAACCCATCCCGGAGGGAACCCCAGGAAGGAGCCCGAGAAACAATTGGGAAAGCTGCCCCTAGAGGGCACCTGGTGCCCCCACCTGTCTGCCACACAGAAGACACCGAGCTAAGACAGTGTGTATGTGTGTGAGCAGGGCTCAGTACACAGCTGTGTCCTGTGGGTCCCCCCCACCAGCCTCGACTCAGATCCATCCCGAAATAATACGGCTGTCTCTGTGCTCTGTGGGCCCGTTGGTCTGTCTGTCTTGTCTAGTCTCTCTATCTCTGTGACCCTGTCTGTCTCCCTATCTATCTGTCTCTCCCTTTCTCTGTCTACCCATCTGTCTCTGTTTCTCTGTCTCTCTCTATGTCTCTCTGTATCTCTCTGTCTCTATCTCTCTCTATGGCCCTATGTATCTCTCTCTGTCTTTGTCTCTCTCTATGTCTCTGTGTATCTCTCTGTCTCTGTCTATGTCTCTATGTCTGTCTCATCTGTACCATCAGTTCACGTTTGTCTGTTTCTGTATCTGTCTCTGTCTCCTTGTCTCTGTCTGTCTCTCTCTGTCTCTCTATCTCTTTCTCTCTCTGTCTCTTTGTCTGTCTATCTCTGTGTGTCTGTCTCTGTCTATTGCTGTTTGTCTCTGTGTCTCTCTGTGTCTGTGTCTGTCTGTCTCTGTTTCTCTGTCTTTCACTGTCTCTGTCTTTCTCTGTCTCTTTTGCTGTTTCTCTGTCTTTCTCTCTGTCTCTCTCTGTCTCTGGGGTTGTGTGTGCAAGGAGGGGATGCACAGCTGAGGTGCCCCTAGCCCCGAGTCTCTCTTGCCAGGTATGGGGAACTGAGCCCCTGTTCCTCTGCTTGGTGTTCTGTGCCGTGACTGTCCTTCCTGGGGACACAGGGCTACCCCCGGGCTGACCTGGGCCACAGAGTCTTCCGCTGCTCCTTGGGGTCGCCTTGGGCCATCCGGGCTGCTCAGAGGTGCCGAGGGCCCCGCTCCGTCCTGCTGCCTGCTCCTTGCCCTCTCTCCTGCGGTCCTGAGTCTCCTTTTCACTGACAACAAGGGGGCAGGTGAGCGTGGAAGGGGGTCAGGCCTCGGTGCTCTGTCTACCCCGTAGTTCCTGTCTGGACCCCAGGCCTACCTGCCCTGCCCTCTGCCCTGCCCCTTCGCACTCATCCCCCCCTTGGGGCCAGAGACCCCACAGGAAAATCTACTCATTGCGGGAACCAGTGGGCAGACCCTGCTGCTGATGCTCGGGGACCCCTGGGGCCCCTGGTTCAAGCATGCAGCCAGATCTCATGCACAGCTGCCTTCCCTTCACCCCAAACACCCCCAAAGCATCCCGACACACCTGACCCCCAAGTCATTGCACGTCCCGCCCCTACTCCCACCCTAGTATGAGCTGGGTGCAGGAGGGCTCCACTACCGTTTTGCTTCTCCTTTCTCAAGGAGTCCACAAATTCCTTGAGCTCTGGATCGTCTTTGAGGGTGTCGATGAGCTTGTCCACAGATGCGGCACCTGGGAACTTGGAGAACATTCGTTCTGCGATCATGATTCTGTCCGAGTCTTCCCTCATTTTGGAGGTCAGCTGTAACTCATCCGCCAGTAAGCACCTGACTGTTCGGAACTGGTAATCAGTGAGCATCTTCAGTCCCTTGTGCAGGAGGATTTTCTTGTACTCCATCGCCATCTGTCACAGGGAGCCTGGGAGAGGGATGGGGTGTCACAGGGACTGGGACAGCCTGAGCCTGCCTGGTGCCATCTGCCCTGGACTCACAGGGCCCAGCACAGCCCTTTGCAATGATGCTGGAAGAGGCGGCAGAGAGGCTTGTGCAAAGAAGGGCCCCGTGAGCACCCGTGAGCGCAGGGCTTGCACCCCACCAGGGTTCAGAATGAGCTCTGGGGTGGAGTGGGGCGCTCGGTGTGAGCTCATGCCCAGAATGTCCCCAGGGACCTCCGCAGCCCTCAGGGGCTGACTGGGCACTAGCTCCCCTCGGCCCTCTCCTTAGGACAGACTGCTCCTCGACATTCCCCCTTGGTGGCACGGAGGCCAGTCCACTCTCTGCCTCTCTCCTGTTTGCATGGAGCTAGTTCGAGTGAGCCTCCTTGTCTTCGCCAAAAGTGTCATCTCTGCCGCCAATCTGAGTCCATTCCTCAGGACCATGGATTTGGGGCTCGACGGGCCAGCCCTGGCCGCTTTGGGCACCTTGCCACGTCCCCAGTGTGAAGGACATTTTTGTGCCATGGGGCTTCTTCCCAGAACCCTCCCTTCCCGCCATGATGCAGGATATGGCCCTCAGAGCAAAGAACTTAGCATTTGGACTAAGGGCCGGACCCAGACTAACATTTGAGTAAGCAGAATGTCTGGAAATCAAACGGAAAACCAGGTTCACTGACCGGGAACCAGGAGGGATTAGGAAAGAGAAAATGCTACCCAAACAGAGGGGCTTTACCTGGAAGGAACCAGAACCTCTGACAGTCCCTGAGATGCAGATGCAGCAGCACTGAGCCCCACAGCCCAGTCCCGGGAGAGGGGGCACCCATGACAGCACGCGCCCTGCACTGACCCTGAACAAGACACCAGGAAACAGGATCTTGTTTGCCGCCTTCGAGGGCCAACTCCTCAGCAGACAGCGGGGGCCACACCTCGAGGTCTTCCTGCCCACACCTTGAGGTCTTCCTGTGAGACCTGTGCAGAAGCACCAGCACTTTTCTGAGTCCTCCCGGGCCTCTGGGCCCCTGCCCCACTCTCTCTTTCTCTGGGCTTCAGAGCCCCTCCAGCCTCTTACAGGCGCAACGCTGGAACTGGGGTGTCCCTGAGACTTCCAGCCAGGAGCCTGCAACCTCTCCAGCTGAAGAATCACTTGAGAGGAGGATTTTAGAGCCAGCCAAGAGGACCTTTGCATGGCAAGAGCAGAAATAATTGGTGAAAAGGCAGAAGATTTGCAAAACCTGCAATGGGAGACTCTTTGCTACGGCGTTATTATTATGCGTTTTTTTTCCTTTTTGGGTCACATCCAGCGATGCACAGGGGTTCCTCCTGGCTCATGCACTCAAGAATTACTCCTGGTGGTGCTTGGGGGATGCTGGAATGCTGGAAATTGAATCAGGGCAAGGCATATGCCCTACCTGCTGGGCTATTGCTCCATTATTATATATTTTTAAAAGGCAAACAAGGTCAAAGTCATTTTTAAAGGCAAACAGGGTCAAGGTTATCAGGAAGAGAGGGGCTGAATTCAGATGGCTTGTGTGCTAATCCTGCTCGGAGAGAAAGAACGGGATGTGAGCCTCTGTGAAAGAGAAAGTTTTGAGACACTTTTGCAGAGAAAGAAAGTTGAAGTCCAAATGAAGTTTTGCAAATGGCGACAGAGAGACAGAGAGTGGAGAATCTGGATGGACCCAGGGGAGAATCCTACTTAGCTGAGTCCCTGTTCAAATGCACCCACAAGAATCTGCAGGAGGTTTAAGGGTTGACACGACCATAAGATTTGCTTCCTGCAAGCAGAAATGAAACTGAACTATCTGAATGTGTGACTCAAAGTGGATCCTGGGCAGAGCCCAGAAAACTGCCAATTACTGGGGTGAGCCTCACCCCGTGCTCAGGAATGGGTCCCCTGGTCTCCCGGAGGATCGACAAGCGGCCCTGTGGGAAGGAGCTTCTGGTCTTCTGAAAGGCCCAGCTCAGGCTGTTCCAAGCAGAGTCTCCCCCTGGGGACAGGAGATGCTCACTGGGTCTCTCTGGCTCTGCTCTGGGTGGAGAGCGAGGGTCTAGTGAGACCCTAGGCGGGGTGGGGCAGAGACAGCCCCTCTGCCCCTCCCTGGGTGATGCAACCCCTGCCCCTCCCTTCTGCCCTCCTCCTCCAGGAGGACAAGGGTCAGTTCCCCCCAAGTTCTATCTTCCGGGACTTCTGGCAGGACTCACCCTCTCGTGTGTTCTGGTGCCTGGGTCCTGGATCTCCCAGCCTGAGGGGAACTGAGGTGGTGGTGGCTGAGGATGGCCAAAGTGGCAGGAGCAGAGTGAGCTCAGCAGGCCTGGGTCTTTGCTTCAGGGCGGAGGAGAGGGAGAGAGAACTGGACCAGGCTGGGCCAAGATGTGAGACCAAGTGCAGGCCTCCCCCTCTGAGGCTGACTCCTCCCAGCTGGGGCAGGAGTTTCAGTTGCAGGAGTTTCAGTTTCCCGGAAGCTGAGGCACTGATGTGTTTCCCACAAAAGCCCGCCTAGCCCTGTCCCCCGCCCTTCCTGTCAGTGCTGGCTGGGCTGAGGGCACCTCCTCTGTTCTAGTGCCCAGGTCCTCGAGGGGAACCCTCCTCCCAGGGCCTGTGTGTCCTCTGCCTCTGCTCTGGGCCTCCTTCCCATCTATCGGATGAGGGTCCGAGTCTTCGTGGGGAGGGAGGAAAGGCCTGCCAAATGGTTCTGCTCTCTGTACCCGGGGTTGTTCTCTCTCCGCGAGTGCCCCTGGGAGAGAGCCCGAAGCCCCTTCAGGGCTGCAGCCTGCACGGGGACTTTCACAGACAGAGAACCCCAGGACTTATGATTTATGCTCTGACCCTGAGGTGGCCGCTGGACAGACCTGAACACTCTTATTGGAGCTATAGGGTCCCTCACTCTTTGCCTCAACCCTGTGCTGCTTATCCCGTGGTCTCAGCTTGTGCCCCTCACAAAGCCCTTACTCTGCCACCTTCCCTGGGCACCCCACCCTGTGCACCACCCCCTGACCATGTCCCCCTCTGCCCTGTGCAACACCCAGTATGCCCCCGTCTATTTCCCCCTGTGACCACTGGGGGCATCAGCTCCCTCCTCCAGTCACTCTAGTCCAGGAGACCAAACATTTGTTTTTCATTTATTTATTTATTATTTTTGCTTTTTGGACCACACCTGGTGATGATCAGGGGTTCTTCCAGGCTCATGCACGCAGGAATTACTCCTGGAAGTGCTCAGGGGACCTTATGTGATTCTGGGAATCAAACCCGTTCTGCTGCGTGCACGGCAAACGCCCTCCCCGCTGTGCTATGGGTCCAGCCCCAAACACTCACTTTAAGCACAGGAATTTCAGTCCAAGTTACTTCCTGAGGCTGGAGCGCGAGCAGGCAGGCAGCGGGTCAGGACCCTTGCCTTCCGCGCAGCTGATGCGAATTCTGTCTCCTGAGCCCTGCCAGAAGTGATTCCTCACACAGAGTCGGGGACCTGAACACCGCTGGGGTGACCCCCGGCCCCAAATTCAACTCACTTCCCGGGCTCAATGGAAGCAAACACAGAAAGCATAGAAAAATACAGACACACAGAGAAAGGCTTTTATTTTTAAAAAAAAGTGTGATCAGGAGGCAGACTGCCCAGAGCATTGGCTGTCTCCTGGGACACACAGGGAGGCTCTGGTCTTTCAGGGACCATGGTGGCCCTAGTGGGGTGACATCATCAGCTGGACCTGCATGTTGACTTTATCGTGGAACCCTGGGTTCTTTTTTTTCTTGTTTTTTTTTTTTTTTTTGCTTTTTAGTCATATTTGGCGATGATCAGGGTTTCCTCCTGGCTTTGCACAGAGTAATCACTCCTGGCGGTGCTCAGGGGATCATATGAGAATAGAACCCGGGTGAGCCCCTTGCAAGACAAACGCCCTCTCCGCTGGAGTATTGCGCTTGGTCCCGCACCCTGGGCTCTTGGTTTACAAACTCTGGACCACCTGAGGAGAAATGAGAAGACCAATGAGACTTTGTTGCTGCCTGGGCTCTGGTGACCCCCGTCCCCCTACCAAAGTCTCCTTCCCCAGCTGATCCCCTTCTCCTCTCTCCCCATGCCCTTGGAAGCCTCTGCCCCTCTCTCTCCATTCCTTCTAGTTGGAATCCTTCACTCCATCGTCTGGAACCTGGTGTGCGTGTCCCGGGTCCAGCTCAGGAAGGTGGCGGCTGCCTCCAGGGCTGAGCACTGGGAAGACCCTAAGGCTGACCTCAGCAGCTCCCTCCTGGTGGGTCTCCTGGGGGAGGGTCACAAAGTCTGCGTGTTGAGCCCACGGCCCCTGTCGCTGTGCCATGCGTGCCCGTGGCAGGTTCTAGTGGAGGGACTGTTGGACTCTTTTCTTGGATTCACAGCTTGAGCCCTTGCCGGGCACCTGGCTGGGTCTGCGCATCCTCCCTGCCCACGTGCCTCCCTCTCTCTGGCAGCAGGTGTGCAAGCAGAGGAGCTGCTCGGTGTGTCACTACCGGTCTGCAACTGGACCCGAGCTGCGTGTTGGCCTCAGTGCTCAGACCCTTTCCCACAGATGACTTTTTTCCTGAGCTCGTCATATCCTTCTCCTTTACCTTGGTCTCTGCATTTTCTGAAATACCCAGAGACTCACCGCTCACTGTGTGTGTGTGTGTGTGTGTGTGTGTGTGTGTGTGTGTGTGTGTGATTAAGGCATGACAGGCAAGGATGTGTACAGATTGAAGCATCCCTGAAAGAGCCTTACCTGGTCATATACTATTTTCCTGATATGCTGCTGCATTTGATTTGCCCAATTTTGGGGAGTTTTTGCATTGATGTTTATAAGAACCATTGATTTGTTTTTCTTATGTGTGTTTGGTTAGCAGACCGTGTCTGGCTAACAGTGTGAGGAAGTGTTCTTCAGTGTGTGTAATCTCCCACGGAGTACTCTTCGCACACGCTTACTTGTGACAAAGCCAGGGTACATGGTCCCACCTCCCCTCCTGGCCCCTGACCCCTGCAGGCAGAGCACCACATACTGCTGGACACCCTTTGCCTCCCAAAGGTCTCGTGAGAGTCTTCACCTGCTGGGAAAATAGTCCTTACAGCAGGTGATGCCGCCTCTCTAAGAGGGTGTATTGGGGGTAAAGATGAGTGCGCGGCCCCCCAGTAGCGCTGACATGCTCCTGGACTGTGAAGGCCCCAGGAAGCCAGTTCCTAACTTGGGGCGGCGGGAGGCAGCGACCCTGCTCTGATCAGCCGTCCAAGCTGAGCTTCACTTCTCAATGATGAGGTGAGTGGACGGCACATGTTTGATGTCTTCTTATGTTTTCTTTTCTCATCTCTCTCTCTCTATCTCTCTCTCTCTTTTGAAATATCTTAAAATGGAATCACTGTGAGATAGATCCTTAGGAAGCTGTTCAAGGTTTCATTTGTACAGCGTTCCAACACCCATCCCCCTAGCACTGTACGTTTCCCTGCACCAGTGTCCCAAGTTCCCTCCCTTCACCCCCATCCCCCAGGGACTGCCTCAATGGCAAGCACTTTTTCTCTCTTTCTCTTTCTCTCTTCCTTCCCCTCTCTCTCTCTCTCCTTTTGGGCACGGTGGTTCTGCAGAACCTCTTTAAAGCTCTCTGTCAGATGGGCACCAGGGCACTACTCTGGCGGTGTGTGGACAGAATTCCCGATACCTCAATACTGCCATTGACCCCCTTGGAGAGCCCCCCAAAGCATCCCCACCTGGATGAGGCTGTGTTTCTCGCACATCAGGATCGTCTTCTTTTTGACGGTGCTCACTCGGAGGCAGAAGAGCTGCAGCTGGTCTCCTGGCTCACAGGGAAGCCCGCACCACTGTCCACTCCCTACCACTTCTATGCTCCCTGTCTTATCCTTAATCTCGTAGATGGAGTTCTTCATGATCTGTGTTTTCTGCAACAGAAGCGGGACATTTAGTTTCTAGAGGGTAGTGACCTCCCTGTGTGTGAGGAAGAGGTCATGTGAGCAGCAGGAAGAGGAACTGTGTGATGCGGGGACTCAGGCAGTCCCCATGACACCTGCACACCTTGATTTTCTCTGCTGCCATTCTAGTGCTTCTATGTGCTTTTTGAGTCACACCTGGAAATGCACAGGGGTTCCTCCTGGCTCAGGCGCTCAGGAATTACTCCTGGCAGGACCGTATGGGATGCTGGGAATCGAACCCGGGTCGGCCACATCCAAGGCGAATGCCCTACCCACTGTGCTATTGCTCCAGTCCCGATGTGCTAATTCTTAATTTTCCTCCTTCCTGACTTCTACCCTAGGGGAGATTGGTTCCTTAAAACCAATCAGGGGAATTGGAAAGTCATGGAGGTATCTTTGGTGCCTGCCTGTTTGCAGAGATTATTGGGCTACCGCTGTTCACTCCACAGACTGATTGCGAGAGTTTCTAGAACAAAGAAGGCCCACAGAGATTCTTCCCTCTCCTCCCTCTTTCCTCTCTTCTCTGCCCTTTTTTCTCTGATATCTTATCCCCTTGGCCTCGGACCGGTGGGTCACATTTATACCTTACTGAGGCTATCCCTGATCAAGTCCTTGAGAGAGTGTGGGTGGGAGTGGATGGCAGCTAAGGGCAGTGTCGGAAAGCAGTGGAGAGCGACAGCCTCTTGGGACACAGAATGAGGCTCGATACAGCACGTCCTCTGGGAATGAGTCGTGGTGTGTCTGCTAGGGAGGATTAAATAGATCCCAGCATCCTGTACCTTGAGTTGGCAAGTGAGCAAGTCAGTAACACTCTTGGCCTCTTTTTCTTTTTTGTGGGGGCTAGGTGTGGGGTTTGGCCACTCCTGATGGTGCCCAGGGCTTACTCTGTACACGGGGATCACTTTTGGTGGTGCTCGGGCGTCAAACCGGGTGGGCTGCGTGCAGTGCAAGTGCTTTACGCACTGTGCTGTCTCGCCAGCCTCCATCCCTTTGCCTTTTTATTTTGTTAGCACTATAGCAATGTCCACCCGTTCTTCGATTTGCTCGAGTGGGTACCAATAACATCTCCACTGTAAGATTTGTTACTGTTTTTGGCATATCGAATGCTCCACGGGGAGCTTGCCAGGCTCTGCCATTTGGGTGGGATACTCTCGGTAGCTTGCCGGGCTCTTCGAGAGGAGAGGAATTGAACCCGGTTCGGCCGCATGCAACACAAATGCCCCAACCACTGTGCTATGGCTCCAGCGCATATTTGGGTAAACAAGAGAATTTGCAGAGCAGAGATCTTAATTCCCATGAAGTACCCTGCTTTTCAGTACTCAAGAACCTGTTCGTGAAGAATCGGTGAATGAGTGTGTAAAGGAGGCAGCATCAAAAAGCTGCATGCTTAGCGTCCCTGTGAGAGCACAGCCCAGTCTGGCCAGAGTCCCACCCTAGTGGTGACTGGGACTGGTCATTTAAACACTGCGCCCCAGCCTGGCACGTGCTCTCAGGAGCAAGCTCTGTCCTGTCTGTGCAAGTAGAGACGGATCACAAGAGCAGGACATGACCCAGTCGACCTTTTGCAATAAATCCTCAGGGAGGCAGTTTCTGTGCCCCATGAGAAGTCTTCCTCTAGTCAGGAGGGAGCGGAGGGTCTCTGTGAGCAGCACATGGCCTGGGAGACAGGCAAGCAAGCACAGGTGCTGCTGGAGGTGGGGCAGAACCGTCTCACACGTACCTTGACCACCTTGTACCGCCCATATACGGGTGTCCCTGACACAGCTTTGCACAGGTCGTCGATCTTGGGAGGCTCGCATGCCCTCTTCATGACGCTCTTTGGGACCTTGAGCCGGGCAATAGTGGGAGACACTATGGAGGTCTTACTGACCTCCAGGGTCCCTCTGCGCATAGAGTGACCAGAGATGGTGAGAACCGCGTTCTCTGTGAATAGGTGCCACGGAGTGTCGTCGAAGACCTTCACCCAGTAGAACTGACTTGCTGTGGCCACTGTGGCGTGGAACATTAAGGCCTGACCCTGTTCCATAAGATTGAAGACTTCGCTGCGTTCCAGCACCAGGACGGTCACGGGGCCCTGGGATGGGGTTTTTCTGTCTTCAGCGACCTTAGCTGCAGCTGACGGGCTCTGAATTTGGGATAGACAGAAACAGAGCAATAAACCTCCTGGCTGGAGCAGAGATGCAAGCTTGCATTTCTACTCGAGCGATTTGGAGCTGGAGTAGGTAGCGGGACTGGGAAAGGCTGCCAGGTGGGGGCTCAGGGTCTGATCTGAGAGTCCCAGTTGCAACAGAATCAGCCCTGAATTAACATGGTACCAGTTAGAGCCTGTAAAGAATGGGTAGGTCCACCAAGTACTCAAAAGAAGAGTCAGGCATATTGAGATGCCAGGGTTGAGCAGACGCCCTGCCTTAGTCCCCGCCCCGGCAGGGCACCCCAATGCTGCAGGGAGTGACCTCTGGGACTGGTCCAGGATGGTCAGGGAGAATCTGATTAGCAGCATTGTTTGGAGGTGGCCAAGCCAAGTGACCAATGTCCCTGACTTGGGGGCCCCATTCCCAAGCAGGCTGATTTACACATGGGGAGTCAGGCCTGTATCACTGTCACTGGGTCACTGGGTCACTTGAGTATACCTCCGTCAAGGATGTGGAGGATGCCATGGACACTGAGCTTGGCATGGTTGGCAGGATACTTGCTGTGTCACGTTGGAAGATCGGGGTGGCTGTTGAGAAGTTTTTGGTGTCTGGTGAGAAGCTCCCGGTGGCCGTTTGGGTTCTGGAAGGGCTGGCACCAACAGGATAGGGGGCCTTGCTGGACATCCGGGCCCCCTTGTTCTTTTTCACACCTTTTTCTCCTTCCGTGTTGTGTTTTCTTTTCTGGAAGTGATTACGTTTTCTCATGAATAGTCCCCAGCTCTCAAAGCACAGAAGTGGGGCTGGAGCAATAGCACAGGGGGGAAGGCGTTTGCCTTGCATACAGCCAACCTGGGTTCAATCCCCAGCATGGTTCAGAATGAGCTCTGGGGTGGAGTGGGGCGCTCGGTGTCAGCTCATGCCCAGAATGTCCCCAGGGACCTCCGCAGCCCTCAGGGGATGACTGGGCACTAGCTCCCCTGGGCCCTCTCCTTAGGACAGACTGCTCCTCGACATTCCCCCTTGGTGGCACGGAGGCCTGTCCACTCTCTGCCTCTCTCCTGTTTGCATGGAGCTAGTTTGAGTGAGCCTCCTTGTCTTCGCCAAAAGTGTCATCTCTGCCACTAACCTGAGTCCATTCCTCAGGACCATGGACTCAGGGCTCGACGGGCCAGCCCTGGCCGCTTTGGGCACCTCGCCACGTCCCCAGTGTGAAGGACATTTTTGTGCCATGGGGCTTCTTCCCAGAACCCTCCCTTCCCGCCATGATGCAGGATATGGCCCTCAGAGCGAAGAGGTTAGCATTTGGACTAAGGGCTGGACCCAGACTAACATTTGAGTAAGCAGAATGCCTGGAAATCAAACGGAAAACCAGGTTCACTGACTGGGAACCAGGAGGGATTAGGAAAGAGAAAATGCTACCCAAACAGAGGGGCTTTACCTGGAAGGAACCAGAACCTCTGACAGTCCCTGAGATGCAGATGCAGCAGCACTAACCCCCACAGCCCAGTTCCAGGTGAGGGGGCATCCATGACAGCGCCCGCCCTGCACTGACCCTGAACAAGGCACCAGGAAACAGGATCTTGTTTGCCGCCTGCGAGGGCCAACTCCTCAGCAGACAGCAGGGGCCACACCTTGAGGCCTTCCTGCCCACACCTCGAGGTCTTCCTGTGAGGACTGTGCAGAAGCACCAGCACTTTTCTGAGTCCTCCCGAGCCTCTGGGCCCCCGCCCCACTCTCTCTCTCTCTCTGGGCTTCAGAGCCCCTCCAGCCTCTCACAGGTGCAGCGCTGGAACTGGGGTGTCCCTGAGACTTCCAGCCTGGAGCCTGCAACCTCTCCAGCAGGAGAACCACTTGAGAGGAGGATTTTAGAGCCAGCCAAGAGGACCTTAGCATGGCAAGAGCAGAAATACTTTTCTGGTGTTCACAAACATGGTGAAAAGGCAAAAGATTTGCAAAGTCTGCAATGGGAGACTCTTTGCTAGGGTGTTATTATTATGGTTTATTTTTTCCTTTTTGGGTCACATCCAGCCATGCCCAGGGTTTCCTCCTGGCTCATGCACTCAAGAATTATTCCTGGTGGTGCTCGGCGGATGCTGGAATGCTGGAAATTGAATGCCCTACCCGCTGTACTATTGCTCCAGCCCCATTATTATATATTTTTTAAAGGCAAACAAGGTCAAAGTCATTTTTAAAGGCAAACAAGGTCAAGGTCATCAGGAAGAGAGTAAAAGGCTAAGTTCAGATGGCTAGTGTGCTAATTCTGCTCGGAGAGAAAGAACAGGATGTGAGCCTCTATGAAAAAGAAAGTTTCGATATACTTTGGCAGAGAAAGAAAGTTGAAGCCCAGATGAAGTTTTGCAAATGGCGACAGAGAGACGGAGAGTAGAGAATCTGGATGGACCCAGAGGAGAATCCTACTTAGCTGAGTCTCTGTTCAATTGCACCCACAAGAATCTGCAGGGTTGACACGACCGTAAGATTTGCATCCTGCAAGCAGAAATGAAACTGAACTTTCTGAATGTGTGACTCAAAGTGGATCCTGGGCAGATCCCAGAAAACTGCCCATTACTGGGGTGACCCTCATCCCCTGCTCAGGAAAGGGTCCCCTGGTCTTCCGGAGGATCGACAAGCGGCCCTGTGGGAAGGAGCTTCTGGTCTCCCAAAAGGCACAGCTCAGGCTGCTCTGAGCAGAGTCTCCCCCTGGGGACAGTTCCCCCCAAGTTCTGGCTTCCGGGACTTCTGTCAGGACTCACCCTCTCATGTGTTCTGGTGCCTGGGTCCCAGGTCTCCCAGCCTGAGGGGAACTGAGGTGGCGGTGGCTGAGGATGGCCAAAGTGGCAGGAGCAGAGTGGGCTCAGCAGGCCTGGGTCTTCGTTTCAGGATGGAGGAGAGGGAGAGAGAGCTGGACCAGGCTGGACCCAGCTGTGAGACCAAGTGCTGGCCTCCCCCTCTGAGGCTGACTCCTCCCAGATGGGGCAGGAGTTTCAGTTTCCTGGGGCAGAGGAACTGAAGCGTTTCCCAAAATCCTGCCTGGCCCCGTCCCCCGCCCTTCGTATCAGTTCTGGCTGGGCTGAGGATACCTCCTTGGTTCTGGTGCCCGGGTCCTCGTGAGGGACCTTACCTCCAGGGCCTGTGTGTCCCCCGCTTCTCTCATTCCTGTCTATTGGGGGAGACTCTGTGTCTGCGTGGGGCGGGAGGACAAGCCTGTTGGATGGTTCTGCTCCCTGCACATGGGGTTGTTCTCCCTCCCCAGGGTCCCTGGGAACGAGGGCGTCCCCCAAAACCTCTTCAGGGCTGTAACCTGCAGGAGGTCTTTCCTAGTCAGAGAACCCCAGGACTTATGATTTATGCGCTGACCCTGAGGTGGCCGCTGGACAGACGTGAACACTCTTATTGGTGCTATAGTGTCCCTCACCCTTTGCCTGAGCCCTGTGCCGCTTATGCGTGGTCTCAGCTTGTGCCCCTCACAAACCCCTTACTCTGCCCCCTTCCCTGGGTACCGCACCCTGTGCACCACCCCTGACCATGTCCCCCTCTGCCCTGTGCAACACCCAGTATGCCCCCGTCTATTTGCCCCTGTGACCACTGGGCGCATCAGCTGCCTCCTCCAGCCACTCTTGTCCAGGAGACCAAACACTTGTTTATTTATTTATTTATTTACTTATTATGTTTTGCTTTTTGGATCACACCTGGCAATGCTCAGAGGTTCCTCCAGGCTCATTCCCTAAGGAATTACTCTTGGCAGTGCTCAAGGTATCCTATGTAATTCTTGAAATCAAACCCGGGTCTGCTGCGTGCAGTGCAATGGTCGTTCCCACTATGCTATGGGTCCAGCCCAAAATACTCGCCTTTAGCACAGGAATTTCAGTCCAAGTTACTTCCTGAGGCAGGAGCGCGAGCAGGCAGGTAGCAGGCAAGGCCCTTGCCTTGCGGGCAGCTGACCCAAGTTCAATTCCCGGCTCCCCTAATAGTCTCCCAAGCTGAGACAGAGGTGATTCATCACACAGAGTTGGAGCCCTGACCATCGCCCCCAAATTCAACTCACTTCCTGAGCTTGATGGAAGCAAACGCAGGATGCAGAGAAAAATATAAACACAAAGGGAAAAGGCTTTCATTTGTAAAAAAAAACAATGGGATTCAGTACTAGACTGAGGGATGCTGAGCTCCAAGCTGATGGTCGACTGTGTGCTGTGGTCCCTCTGCCCAGGCGTCGCGGCCAGTGTCACTGTCAGCATCTCGGTCAGTGCCGAGGCCGGTGTTGCTGTCAGCATCAAGGTCAAGACCATGGTCAGCGTCATGTCAGCGTTGTGTTCAGCATGAGGGGCTGCTGTGGTCAGTGTCCACGTGGTGGTCAGCATCGCGGTCAGCAGAGTACGTGGGCTCGCCATGTCTGTGCCGCTCCTGTCCTAGATCACCTTGGGGAGGGGAGGGACACTTGAGCGTCTCCTCCTCTGCCCCTGTCCACGTGTGTCTTTCCCTCAGAGCCTGGCCCCCACGTGGTGCTGACCCTCCCTGTGTATTGTTGAGGTCCCTGAGCAGGGTGGGGGCGGGTTCCGACTGGGAGGAAAGGTGGGAGAGGGTCAGGCCTCAGGAGAGCTGGATGGTGCTTGAGGAGAGTGCGGGGGCGGGGCAGGGGTTGTGCCTGCGTCCTAGTGCTCTGTGGTGGGTCTCCTTGTGCTGAATACCCTCTGCTGTGTTAGGTCATCCCCGGCCCTCACCCGGTGAGTGTGTGCTGGGGACCTCCATCTGCTGTGGGTCCCACCAGAGGTGGCACTTGGTGATCTGGGTGCCCAGGGACCCTGGAGCTCTTGTCAGCATCCTGAGAGGGAAGTTTCTCCTCATTTCAGAGACAGGAGACTGAGGCCTGGCATCTGCGTTCCTCAGTGACACTGGAATACGGGTGCCTTGAGACCCCAAGCTTCTGCCACTGTTGCTGTGATAAATGCCCAAATAGTTGGCATCTCGTTGCCAAAGGGCCCTCAGAGGTCCCTCTCCTCACCAAGATTAAGATTTTCTCAAGTGCCTTCACAAGAGGCAGGCAGAGGGTGGGGGTGGGGGTGATGGGAGGGGGCTGGGGAAAGCACACAGGTGGAGGAACGTGTGTTAGAACTCTGTGTGGCTGAAATTCAATCACGAATGTCTTTTGAATGCTCTAAAAATAATTTAAAAATTTAAAAAATTTAGGACTGGAGTTATCGTACAACAGGCAGGGTGTTTGCCTGTGTACAGCCGATGCGAGCTCCATCCCCAGCATCCCATATGGTCCCAAGACCTCAGGCATCCCAAGCACTGCCAGAAGTAATTCCTGACGGTAGAGCTAGGAAGAACCCCTGATCCAAAGAGACAAAAAATATTTTTTTAAATTCTTTACCCCGGGCCCGGGTGGTGGCTCAGCAGGCTGGGCACAAACTTTGCCTGCGGGAGGCTTGGATTCTGTCCCCAGGACTTTCAGGTCCCAAAGCCCCATCAGCAAGTCTCAAGCTCTGAGACAGGAGGGGCCCCCCAGCACTGCCAGGTGTGACACTTAGGGCTAGAAGGAAAACCGTTCTGTCTGGAATAGGAAAAGAGCAAGGATGGAGCGGGCTCTCCGCCCTGATGGAGTGCTGTAGTAGCTGCCTCACAGTTTAGGGACGGCCAAGCAGTACTCAGGGGAACGTGATTCTCGGCACTGGCTCGAGCCGGGCATTGCTGGGGCTGCTGGTGCTTGGGTGTTTCCAGGGATCAAACTTGAGATCTGTGCCCAAGGCTTGTGATCCAGCTCTTGGCCCTTCTCCCTGGCCCCATATCAAGATTCAAAGTTCTACTTTGGAAGGATAAAGTTCCCTAACTTCCCACCTTGAGAAAGCTTTGGATCGAAGATCTTATCTGGTGCTGCTCTTCTCCTCGCTCAAAACAGATGAGTTGGATTCTGTTGCCTCTCTCACAGGGGATGCCGGTCAGATGTCCGTACACCACCACCTGCATGGTGCCTGTCTCATCCTGGACCTCGTAATAGACACATGGGTGCCGCACAACTTTCTGAAAGACAGAGTGGGCATCCGCCCGATGACAGGGAACCCTGGGAGGAACCAATGTCTCCACAGCTGAGGAGGGGCCACCCCGAGCTTCAACTATTTTATGGAGGAGACCCTCCCATTTTGAACCCCTAGTGGTTTCCCTTCTTTTTGGGTCATGCGGGTGATGCACAGGAGTTAATCCTGGCTCATGCACTCAGGGATTACTCCTGGCGGTGCTCGAGGGACCATATGGGATTTTGGGTATTGACCTGGGTCAGCCGTATGCAGGGCCAATGCCCTCCCTGCTGTGCTACTGCTCCAACTCCCAGTTTATCTTCTTCAGGTGTGTGTCTGCAAGTTCCTGAAGGACTATGGGTGAGGGGCTGACATTTGCTGAGGGGCTGGGCACAAATGGCTGTGGGGAGCCCAGAAGAAAGTCAATTCACGCCATCCTGTCCTGGGGAAAGGAGGCTGTGGTGACTTCCTGTTTCTCTGTCATCTTCTCTGCTTTACTCCTCATTCTCCAAGGCCCCCCAAAGTCAAGTCTCTCACCTCGGTCCCTTTGTGCTGATCCCAGCTCTCTCCTCACTAATTATTCAAAAGCATGTGTGTTCGTGCCCTTCCAGAGGCCAGAAAGAAGCGATCTCAAACCGCAAGGGATAAGTCCTCATGGGATATGGGAAAACAAGGCTGGGGGTTGAGGGACTGGCCTGAGACTTCCTCAGAGGAGAACATGCAAGACGCTTCTCCTGCTCTGAAGAGGTTTCCCCCATCTTATTGGACCCCATGAGTCCTGTGACAAGGAACTTAGTTGACTGACTACAAGTTAAACTTGTGATTCTGGGGCTGGAGTGATAGAACAGTGGAGTGGCAACATTTACGTTGCATTTGGCCAACCTCTGCTCAATCTCCAAAATCCCATTTGGCTTCCTGAGCACCACCAGGAAAAAATTCTTGAGTGCAGAACCAGGAGTAACTGCTGATCATTGCTGGGTGTGACCCAAAAAGGAAAAACCACAACAACTTGTGGTTCTTGCAGTGGGGCTGATGGAGTGGTTTTGCAAAACTCTTGCTTTGCTGCATAGGAGTCTGACTCTGGTCTTGGTGATGCCCAGATTTCTGATTAAAGTCCAGGGTCCTGTGGTTAGGACTTGGGCCCAAGTAGCCCTGTGTGACCAAGCGAGTGCATGACCCATAATCACCAAAACAACAATGAGGGATGAGGATTCAAAGTCCTTGGGTTAGCGCCATGTATGCTCCCATGAAGTGAGCTAACAGACCATCCCAAGGCTCTTCAATTCTGGGACTGCATTGGAAATATTGCAAAACTGTGACATGGGTTTACCTTTGACACCAGGAACACCCCGTTCACAACGGTGTTTGGGGCTTCCTGGCGCAGGTGACTGATTTTTGGAGTCTCAGTGACCATGTTGATCAACCACTCAGGGACCTCTGCGTACCCCACTGTCTCCACCGAGGTGCATTTGTACACTTCCACAAAACCCCTGTGGCCGATGTAGTTTGAGAGGACCAGAATGTTCCCACGGAGAAAGTTTGTCTTGAAGCCCTCGTGGAAGACCTTCACACGGACGATCTGATTCTGTGTCTGGTTCTTTATGGCTACGATGGCATGGAACATAGTGCGGTCCTCGCGGTACCTGAAGGGCTCGGTCACGTCCAGCACCTGCATCTCCTTGCGCTGATCCTGTTGGCCCTCCTCTTGGAAAGTGCCCACCAACCTGGATGCAGACTGTGAAGGAAGGCCAGACAGTGAGACCGACTCTGACTCCAGGAGTAGAGATGGGCATCCCGGGGCCTGAGGCTGAGATGGTGACGCGCGGAAAAAGCCAAGGAAAGCAGAGGAAATGGTGAGAACCCCGAGGCCCATGGGATTTCTTTCCTTGTTTCCCATGTTCTGAGTTTGGAAAGTGGAGTGTTTTGCTTTCACAAGGGTTCAGCCTAGAGGGAGGCATTTCTCACAGACCCTGGTTGGCCTGGCATGTGTTGTGAAGTGATTGTTGCGTGATGAGGAGCAAGAATTGCATTTTCAGATCCTTTGAGAAGTTTGTAAAGAGGGTCAGAAGGTGGGAGTCAAACCAGATGTTCCAAGGCCCTGCATATCAGCACATCACCTCCCTCGCACTGCAGAGCTGTAGTCCCCAGACCTCAGGCAAACCCCTGTATCCAGGAGACCCTGGGTTGAAGAGCAGCGGCAGCCCCCCAATCCTCTGGAGGGGACGGCCCGGGCAAGCAGCACCGTGAGTGTGTCATGCACGGAACGGCTGCCAGTTCCTCCCCAGAACCCCAATGCTGACATGCCAGGACATGCCACAGAACCCCAAGACTCCTGACATGCCAGGATAAGGTCTTCATCCCCAGTAGCCCGGGCACGGGACAAGGAGGTGGGAGCAGGCACTGTGGACACGGCTGTGTGTGTGGTAGGGCGGGGAAGGCAGCTCTGGGTCAGAGCTGGACATTGGATTCCAGAGCAATGCCCAGGTCGGGGCAGGGATGCCAAGATATCTAGACTGTGGGCAGACAGAATTTGTGTTCAGACCCTGAGTGGCAGAGGCAGCCCCTGTGGTCCCAGTGCCAATGGTATGGAGGCCCAAGGGCTGTAGTTGGAACCCCAATTTTTTGCTCCCAGAGCACAGAACAATGACCCTGGGACAGGAGAAGCATCCCCCGCTGGCGGGGTTTCAGGGCTGACATGGCAGAGCAGCAATCGACGTCATCGGGGAGAAGAAATGGAGAAGGGATGGGGTAAGAGCCCTGGACTGATGAGGGGGACCAGGACTTGGTACCTGGGTAGAGGTCGATCTCCCAGTTGACGAGGACGGACCAGGACGTGTTACCTGGGAAGAGGTCGTGTTCCCGGCTGATGAGAGGGGGCCAGGATATAGTATTTTGGCTGAGGTCTTGCTCCTGGCTGTTGAGGGGAGACCAGGACCTGGTACCTGAGCCGAGGTCTTGCTTCCGGCTGATGAGGCGGAACCAGGACATGGTACTTGGGCAGAGGTCATTTTTCTGGCTGATGATGGGGGCCCCGGATGCGGTACCTGGGCCGGAGTCATGCTTATGGCTGTGAAGGTGGGACCAGGACATGGTACCTGGGCAGAGGTCAATATCCCAGTTGATGAGAAGGAACCAGGACGTGGTACCTGGGCAGAGGTCATGCTTCCGGTGGATGAGGAGGGACCAGGACGTGGTACCTGGAAAGAGGTCATGCTCCCGGCTGATGAGAGTGGGCCAGGATATAGTATTTTGGCCGAGGTCTTGCTCCTGGCTGATGAGGTGAGACCAGGACCTGGTACCTGAGCCGAGGTCTTGCTTCCGGTTGATGAGATGGGACCAGGACATGGTACTTGGGTAGAGATCATTTTTCTGGCTGATGATGGGGGCCCTGGATGCAGTACCTGGGCCGGAGTCATGCTTATGTCTGTGAAGGTGGGACCAGGACATGGTACATGGGTAGAGGTCAATATCCCAGTTGACGAGAAGTCACCAGGTGATGGTACCTGTGCAGAGGTCGTGCTTCCGGTGGATGAGGAGGGACCAGGACGTGGTACCTGGGCAGAGGTCGTCCTCCCGGTGGATGAGGAGGGACCAGGACGTGGTACCTGGGAAGAGGTCGTGCTCCCGGCTGATGAGCGGGGGCCGGGATATAGTATTTTGGCCGAGGTCTTGCTCCTGGCTGTTGAGGGGAGACCAGGACCTGGTACCTGAGCCGAGGTCTTGCTTCCGGCTGATGAGGCGGAACCAGGACATGGTACTTGGGCAGAGGTCATTTTTCTGGCTGATGATGGGGTCCCCGGACGCGGTACCTGGGCCGGAGTCATGCTTATGGCTGTGAAGGTGGGACCAGGACATGGTACCTGGGCAGAGGTCAATATCCCAGTTGATGAGAAGGAACCAGGACGTGGTACCTGGGCAGAGGTCATGCTTCCGGTGGATGAGGAGGGACCAGGACGTGGTACCTGGGAAGAGGTCATGCTCCCGGCTGATGAGCGGGGGCCGGGATATAGTATTTTGGCCAAGGTCTTGCTCCTGGCTGATGAGGGGAGACCAGGACCTGGTACCTGAGCTGAGGTCTTGCTTCCGGCTAATGAGGCGGGACCAGGACATGGTACTTGGGCAGAGGTCATTCTCCTGGCTGATGATGGGGGCCCCGGACGCAGTACCTGGGCCGAGGTTGTGTTTATGGCTGTCAAGGTGGGACCAGGACATGGTACCGGGGCAGAGGTTTCACTTCCGGCTGATGATGGGGCACCTGGACATGGTACTTTGGCCGAGGTCATGCTCCCGACTGATGAAGGGGTACCAGGATGTGGTAGCTGGATTAAGTTCGTGCTCCCAGTTGATGAGGGGGGACCAGGACACAGTATCTGGGTGGAGGTCATACTTCTGACTGATGAGGGGTCACCAAGACGCGGTACCTGGGTGGAGCTCGACCTCTTGGATGATGAGGAGGGAGCAGAATGTGGTTTCTGGGGAGTGGATGAGCTCTGGACTGACGAGTGGGGGCCTGTACGTGGTACCTGGGCAGAAGATGACCTCTGGGATGATGATGGGGGACCAGAACCTGTTTGCCGGGTGGAGGCTGAGCTCTGGGCTGGTGAGTGGTGGGTCACAGGTGGTGACTGGGTGGAGGGGCTGCTAGTGGCAGCTGCAGGAGCTGGAGGAGGGAGATGGAGCAAGGCTGCCTCCAGGGGAGTCCTGGCTGCCTGAGGAGCTGAACGCGGACCCTGCAGAGAACAGAGGAGATTATTCCCCAGGGGTGCAGGATTCTCACAGGGCCTTGCTGAGACTAGGATCCACTGATCTCCGCCCCCCACCCCCACCATATTGATGCCATGACCCCGAAGAAGCCGAGGTTGCAGATCAGCCCGGAGCTCACCTGCATAGGTGAGTGTTTCCTCCCAGAGGGAAGCTGTGTGCAGTGGGGACTGTCGGGGTTCTTGGCCTTGGGTAACCCCATATATCAGACATGGGAGACGGTACCTCAGTCTGGCCGCAGATGGACAGGGGCTTCTGAGGGTTCTGAGCAGGCGTGGGAGTCAGGTTGGCTGCAGATGTTTCTGGAAGAGCTGAGCTCTGGGAACGCCGCCTTCTCTTGGCCTGAAAGTGTCATTTTCTTCTTAACATTGGATAAGACTCATCATTTCATTTCTGAGAACATCGTGCTCGGAGGCCCGTAGCCCAAGCACGGACTCCCCTTGCTGCCTCTGTCCAGTGCCTTCCAACAGAGGAGAGACACACGTGTAACAGGGGACAGAGAGGAGACATACATGTAGGGAAGACACACATGTAGCAGGAGAGAGGGGAGACACACGTGTAGCGAGGCAGAGGGAGAAATTCTGGCATGCTGGGCCCTGCTGGAGGAACTCTCATGGCCGAGAATCTCATTTGGAGAACGACTTCACTTCAGTTCAAGGCCATGGGCCAGACTTTCCCGCCATGACTCCAGGATCTGGGCAGGGGCCTAACGCACCTGGGCTGAGGCTACCGAGGATGGATCCGGGGCAGAGGTTGGTGACGGGGGGTTCCTGGGAGCGCACGGCTGTGCTCCAGCTGCAGCAGGGGGGTCCTTGGGGGCACCATATGCTGTGCTTCTGTGGGGCTCGCTTTGTTCTTGAGCCCAGGTATTCTCTTCCTGAAAGGAGAGAGATGTGAGTGGCTTTTGTACCAGAAGGAGTTGGCTTCCTCTGGATCGAGCTTTCTCTGGACCCAGGTCGCGGCTCTGCAGGTACCCACAGTCCTCACTGCTGACCTGGGCCCTCGGAGGCTCTGCTGCTCTTTGGGCTTCTCCTGGGCCACTTGAGCTGCACTCAGATGCTGAGGGGCCCACCCTGGGCACCTGCTTCTTTCTCTTTGGTGCTGCTGCTGCTCTCTCTGCGAATCTCTTTCTCACTGAGAAATAGGAGAACGTGTAAGTATGCGTGGTCAGGCCTCGATGGCCTCAGTATCAGGTCAGCCCAGGGAGACCACCTTGCTCCACACAAACCCTGGCCCGTAGGACTTTCTGCGAGTGAACACCACACCCGTCCATGTGTTCATCCTGCCACCCGTCTGTCCATCCCTCCCTTCTTTCATCTGTCCATGCATGCATCCATCTGTCATCTATCCTTCTGCTCATCCATCCATCCATCCATTTGTCCATGTGTCCATCTTCCCATCCACCCTTCCACCTGTCCATCTGTCAAGTGTCCATCTGTCTCTGCAGCCCTAGTCCAGCAACACCCACTCCTGCCCGCTGGCATGCCCTACAGACTCAGGCCCTTGGGTGTCTCTCTGGGTATAGTGTTAAAAATGTATAAGTAGAAGTGATTTCTGAGAGAAGTTTTGGCCTTTGAATTGAATATTTTGTTTGTTTCTCTAACCCTGTGGACTGGAGCAATAGCACAGCGGTAGGGCATTTGCCTTGCACGCAGCCAACATGGCCCACCCGAGTTCGATTCCTCCGCCCCTCTCGGAGAGCCTGGCAAGCTACCGAGAGTATCTCGCCCGCATGGCAGAGCCTGGCAAGCTACCCGTGATGTGTTCGGTATGCCAAATACAGTAACAACAAAGTCTCCAATGGAGATGTTACAGGGCCCGCTCGAGCAAATCGATGAACAACGGGAGGACTGTGACTGTGACCGTGACTGATTCTCTAACCCAATCCCAAGGTTTCAAAGAAAATTTCCTCACCTCGGAGGAAACAATCTATCACCCAACTACTTCCTCCAAATGATCATCCAACGATCTCCTCAACATTTTGGGAGGAGGAGATGGTTGAGAAAAGGTCTTTATTGCAGGCCACGCTGGGTGATGCTCAGGGGTTTCTCTTGGCTCTGCACTCAGGAATCACTCTTGGTGGTTCTTAGGGAGCCATATGGGATAGCAGGACAGAATCCAGACTGGCCACGTGCAGAGCATGCGCTTCTCCCACTGTCCACTCTCTGTGACCCCAGAACAGGCCTTACTAGAGGAGTGAGTCAGGACCTGGGGACAATTCTGGGTGCTGCAGTGGGGGCTCGAATGCAGGCTGCCCAGGATCTGCCCTAGACCACGTCAGCACACACCCACAACCATGTCCAGAAGCAGGTTTTGCGAACTACCTGATGTGTCCCCGAAAAACAAAGAGGAATTGACAATATGCAAGTACGTAAAGAAAGAATCAAAGTGTGGCTATTTTTTTTCTGTTCTGAGTGTTTCTTCTTTTTTTTTTTTTTTAATGTCCTGGTTTTGGCATATCGAATACACAACGGATATGCCAAAACCAGGACATTAAAAAAAAGGTCAGACTTCTTCATCAAGATCATGAATGATCGGTTTGAGGCTCTTCGTGTTCCTAGAATGAACAAACGCCATTGGGCTACACTAGCACGCGACAGGGACAAATGGAGACGTTACTGGCGCCCGCTTGAGCAAATCGACGATTAATGGGAAGTCCAGTGATCAATGTCCTGGTGTCTGGGCCATTCCTTGACACTCTTCCTTTTGTTGCCACGCAACCCCCCCGGACCCATAGTTGTGTTTGCAATGATGGTGGCATCACAGTGGCCAAAGCCAGGAGCAGGGCTCATGGGGCCATGGGGACGAGGGGGAGAGTTGGGTGGGACTGCGCTTACCTTTCCCCAACTGTTGCTTCAAGGACTTGACAAGACCCTCCAGTTCTCTGTCGCCTTTTATAGCCTCGATGAGCTGCATCACACATGTAGCACCCCGGAACCGGGCAAACATCTGGGTTGTAATCTGAATTCTGTCATAATCCTCCTGCATGTGGGGTGTCAGTCTTAGAGGACTGGCCAGTAAGCACTTGACTGCTCGGAACTGGTAATCACTGAGCATCTCCAGCCCATTCTTCAGGAAGATTGCCTTGTACTCCGTATCCATGTGTCTCAGAGAGGAGCCTGGGAGAGGGACGGGTGTCACAGGGACTGTGAGCCGGCCTGACCCTTTCTGCCACCACCTGTTATGGACTCAGGGCCTAGTGTAGCCGTCACTGGAATGAGGCGGTGACAGCAGTGAGGTTTGACCCAGGAGACATGCCTGGTAGAACACCCGTGAGTGCCAGACTCTGCCGCCCACATCAATGTAGCTAGCCTCCACCTCCCAGGGTACCCTGTGGGGTGGGAGTGGGGGGTTAATTCTCTGCTCAGTGCCCAGGATGTCCCCACGTCTTGACATGCAAAGGTCATCTTAGCTGGCTCTAAAATCCTCCTCTCAAGTGATTCTCTTGCTGGAGAGGTTGCAGGCCCTGGCTAGAAGCCTTGGGGACACCCCAAATCTGGAATTGAGCCTGTGGGAGACTGGAGGGGCCTGGGGGCCCAGAGAGATAGAGAGAATGAAGTGGGGGACCCAGAGGCCCAAGGGACTCAGAGAAGTGCTGGTGCTTCTGCCCAGGCCTCACAGGCAGACCTCGAGGTGTGGGTGGACGCTTGCCCCTGCTGTTCGCTGAGGAGTTTGGCCCTCGCAGGTGGCAAACTAGATCCTGTTTTCTGGTTTCTTATGCAGGGTTATGATGGGCCGGGCGCTGTCATGGGTGCCTCCTCTCTCGGGACTGAGCCATGGGACTCAGTGCTGCAGTGTCTGCATATCAAGGACTGTCAGAGGTTTCAGTTCCCTCTGGGAAACGCCCTGTGGGTCCTTCACTGTGCTGCCAGCAGTGCCCAGCGGGGAGCTCATGGCCATCCTCCCAGACTGAGTCCATCCCCATGAGGCCAGAGATGACACTTCCTGAGGAGGAGGAGGAGGCTCCCTGGAACTGGCTCCTGGCTAACAGGAGAGAGCGGAGAGTGGACAGGCCTCCTGGCTAGGTGGGAGAGGCCCACTGGCCACCATGGGGGAATGTGGTGGGAGCGATCTCTCCTTAGCAGAGGGACCAGGGAAACAAGTGTCCCACCCCAGATTCCTGCCAGTCAGCCCTATGAAGGCAGGTCCCTGCTCAAATATACCCACGAATATCTGCAGAACAGGGGCTAGAGTGATAGCACAGCAGGGAGGGCTTTTGCCTTGCACACGGCCGACCCAGGTTTGATTCCCAGCATCCCCTTTGTTCCCCCCAGCACTGCCAGGAGTAATTCCTGTGTGCATGTACCATCAGTAAATCCTGTGCATCCACGGGTGTTACAAAGGCAAAATAAATAAATAAATAAATAACTGCATAAGGTTCAAGAGTTAACAAAATTGTAAGATTTGCATCCTGAACTCCCTGTGACATGCCCATGCTGAAAGGCATGCCCAGCCCCTCGGACTCAGAAAAGTGTCCCCTGATTTCCTGGAGGATTGAGAAGTGACCCTGTGGGTCACCATGAACTCAGGGCTCGACCACCCAGCCCTGGCCGCTTTGGGCACCTCGCCACATCCCCAGTGTAAAGAACATTTTTGTGCCATGGGGCTTCTTCCCAGAACCCTCCCTTGCCGCCATGCTGCAGGATATAGCCTTCAGAGCGAAGAACTTAGCATTTGGACTAAGGGACGGACCAAGACTAACATTTGAATAAGCAGAATGTCTGGAAATCAAACGGAAAACCAGGTTCACGAACCAGGAACCAGGAGGGATTAGGAAAGAGAAAATGCTACCCAAACAGAGGGGCTTTACCTGGAAGGAACCAGAACCTCTGACAGTCCCTGAGATGCAGATACAGCAGCACTGAGCCCCACAGCCCAGTCCCGGGAGAGGGGGCACCCATGACTGCGCCCCCCCCCCCCCCGCCCCCGGCACTGACCCTGAACAGGACACCAGGAAACAGGATCTTGTTTGCCGCCTGCGAGGGCCAACTCCTCAGCAGACAGCAGGGGCCACACCTTGAGGTCTTCCTGCCGACACCTCGAGGTCTTCCTGTGAGGCCTGTGCAGAAGCACCAGCACTTTTCTGAGTCCTCCCGGGCCTCTGGGCCTCCGCCCCACTCTCTCTTTCTCTGGGCTTCAGAGCCCCTCCAGCCTCTCACAGGCGCAACGCTGGAACTGGGGTGTCCCTGAGACTTCCAGCCAGGAGCCTGCAACCTCTCCAGCAGGAGAATCACTTGAGAGGAGTATTTTAGAGCCAGCCAAGAGGACCTTTGCATGGCAAGAGCAGAAATAATTGGTGAAAAGGCAGAAGATTTGCAAAACCTGCAATGGGAGACTCTTTGCTACGGTGTTATTATTATGCGTTTTTTTTTCCTTTTTGGGTCACATCCAGCGATGCACAGGGGATCCTCCTGGCTCGTGCACTCAAGAATTACTCCTGGTGGTGCTTGTGGGATGCTTGAATCCTGGAAATTGAATCGGGCAAGGCAAATGCCCTACCCACTGGGCTATTGCTCCATTATTATATATTTTTTAAAGGCAAACAAGGTCAAAGTCATTTTTAAAGGCAAACAAGGTCAAGGTCATCAGGAAGAGAGGGGCTGAGTTCATATGGCTAGTGTGCTAATCCTGCTCGGAGAGAAAGAACGGGATGTGAGCCTCTGTGAAAGAGAAAGTTTTGAGACACTTTTGCAGAGAAAGAAAGTTGAAGTCCAAATGAAGTTTTGCAAATGGCGACAGAGAGACAGAGAGTGGAGAATCTGGATGGACCCAGGGGAGAATCCTACTTAGCTGAGTCCCTGTTCAAATGCACCCACAAGAATCTTCAGGAGGTTTAAGGGTTGACACGACCGTAAGATTTGCTTCCTGCAAGCAGAAATGAAACGGAATTATCTGAATGTGTGACTCAAAGTGGATCCTGGGCAGAGCCCAGAAAACTGCCCATTACTGGGGTGACCCTCACCCCGTCCTCAGGAAAGGGTCCCCTGGTCTCCCGGAGGATCGACAAGCGGCCCTGTGGGAAGGAGCTTCTGGTCTCCCGAAAGGCCCAGCTCAGGCTGTTCCAAGCAGAGTCTCCCCCTGGGGACAGGAGATGCTCACTGGGTCTCTCTGGCTCTGCTCTGGTTGGAGAGGGAGGGTCTAGTGAGACCCAAGGCGGGGTGGGGCAGAGACAGCCCCTCTGCCCCTCCCTGGGTGATGCAACCGCTGCCCCTCCCTTCTGCCCTCCTCCTCCAGGAGGACAAGGGTCAGTTCCCCCCAAGTTCTATCTTCCAGGACTTCTGGCAGGACTCACCCTCTCGTGTGTTCTGGTGCCTTGGGCCCGGGTCTCCCAGCCTGAGGGGAACTGAGGTGGCGGTGACTGAGGATGGCCAAAGTGGCAGGAGCAGAGTGGGCTCAGCAGGCCTGGGTCTTTGCTTCAGGGCGGAGGAGAGGGAGAGAGAGCTGGACCAGGCTGGGCTAAGATGTGAGACCAAGTGCTGGCCTCCCCCTCTGAGGCTGACTCCTCCCAGCTGGGGCAGGAGTTTCAGTTTCCGGGAAGCTGAGGTACTGATGTGTTTCCCACAGAAGCCTGCCTGGCCCCGTCCCCTGCCTTTCCTGTCAGTGCTGGCTGGGCTGAGGGCACCTCCTCTGTTCTAGCGCCCAGGTCCTCGAGGGGAACCCTCCTCCCAGGGCCTGTGTGTCCTCTGCCTCTGCTCTGGGCCTCCTCCCTGTCTGTCGGGAGAGGGTGTGAGTCTTCGTGGGGAGGGAGGATAGGCCAGTCAAATGGTTCTGCTCTCTGTACCCGGGGTTGTTATCTCTCTGTGAGTGCCCCTGGGAGAGAGCCCGAAGCCCCTTCAGGGCTGCAGCCTGCAGGGGGACTTTCACAGACAGAGAACCCCAGGGCTTATGATTTATGCTCTGACCCTGAGGTGGCCGCTGGACAGACCTGAACACTCTTATTGGAGCTATAGGGTCCCTCACCCTTTGCCTCAACCCTGTGCTGCTTATCCCGTGGTCTCAGCTTCTGGCCCTCTCAAACCCTTTAATCTGCCCCCTTCCCTGGGTACCCCACCCTGTGCACCACCCCCTCACCATGTCCCCCTCTGCCCTGTGCCCAGTATGCCCCTGTCTATTTGCCCCTGTGACCACTGGGGGCATCAGCTGCCTCCTCCAGCCACTCTAGTCCAGGAGACCAAACACTTGCCTTTGATTTATTTATTTATTATTTTTGCTTTTCGGACCACACCTGGTGATGATCAGGGGTTCTTCCAGCTCATGACCGCAGGAATTTCTCCTGGCAGTGCTCATGGGACCCTATGTGATTCTGGGAATCAAACCCGGTCGGCTGCGTGCACGGCAAACGCCCTCCCCGCTGTGCTATGGCTCCAGCCCCAAACACTTGCTTTAAGCACAGGAATTTCAGTCCAAGTTACTTCCTGAGGCTGGAGCGCGAGCAGGCAGGCAGTGGTTCAGGACCCTTGCCTTCCGGGCAGCTGATGCGAGTTCAGTCCTCCGCTACCAGTATGGTCTCCTGAGCCCTGCCAGAAGTGATTCCTCACACAGAGTCGGGGACCTGAACACCGCTGGGGTGACCCCATGGCCCCAAATTCAACTCACTTCCCGGGCTCAATGGAAGCAAACACAGAAAGCATAGAAAAATACAGACACACAGAGAAAGGCTTTTATTTTTTAAAAAAAGTGTGATCAGGAGGCAGACTGCCCAGAGCATTGGCTGTCTCCGGGGACACACAGGGAGGCTCTGGTCTTTCAGGGACCCTGATGGCCCTAGTGGGGTGACATTATCAGCTGGACCTGCATGTTGACTTTATCCTGGAACCCTGGGTTCATTTTTTTCTTGTTTTTTTTTTTTTTTGCATTTTAGTCATATTTGGTGATGATCAGGGGTTCCTCCTGGCTTTGCACAGAATAATCACTCCTGGTGGTGCTCAGGGGATCATATGAGAATCGAACCCGCTGTAATATTGCTGTTGTCCCCGCACCCTGGGCTCTTGGTTTTCTTACTCTCGACCACCTGAGGAGAAACGAGAAGACCAATGAGACCTTGTTGCTGCCTGGGCTCTGGTGACCCCCGTCCCCCTACCAAAGTCTCCTTCCCCAGCTGATCCCCTTCTCCTCTCTCCCCATGCCCTTGGAAGCCTCTGCCCCTCTCTCTCCATTCCTTCTAGTTGGAATCCTTCACTCCATCGTCTGGAACCTGGTGTGCGTGTCCCGGGTCCAGCTCAGGAAGGTGGTGGCTGCCTCCAGGGCTGACCACTGGGAAGACTCTAAGGCTGACCTCAGCAGCTCCCTCCTGGTGGGTCTCCTGGGGGAGGGTCACAAAGTCTGCGTGTTGAGCCCACGGCCCCTGTCGCTGTGCCATGCGTGCCCGTGGCAGGTTCTAGTGGAGGGACTGTTGGACTCTTTTCTTAGATTCACGGCTTGAGCCCTTGCCGGGCACCTGGCTGAGTCTGCGCGTCCTCCCTGCCCACGTGCCTCCCTCTCTCTGGCAGCAGGTGTGCAAGCAGAGGAGCTGCTCGGTGTGTCACTACCGGTCTGCAACCGGACCCGAGCTGCGTGTTGGCCTCAGTACTCAGACCCTTTCCCACAGATGACTTTTTTCCTGAGCTCGTCATATCCTTCTCCTTTACCTTGGTCTCTCTGCATTTTCTGAAATACCCAGAGACTCACCGCTCACTGTGTGTGTGTGTGTGTGTGTGTGTGTGTGTGTGTGTGTGTGTGTGTGTGATTAAGGCATGACAGGCAAGGATGTGTACAGATTGAAGCATCCCTGAAAGAGCCTTACCTGGTCATATACTATTTTCCTGATTTGTTGCTGCATTTGATTTGCCCAATTTTGGGGAGTTTTTGCATTGATGTTTATAAGAACCATTGATTTGTTTTTCTTATGTGTGTTTGGTTAGCAGACCGTGTCTGGCTAACAGTGTGAGGAAGTGTTCTTCAGTGTGTGTAATCTCCCAGGGAGTACTCTTCGCACACGCTTACGTGTGACAAAGCCAGGGTACATGGTCCCACCTCCCCTCCTGGTCCCTGACCCCTACAGGCAGAGAACCACATACTGCTGGACACCCTTTGCCTCCCAAAGGTCTCGCGAGAGCCTTCACCTGCTGGGAACATAGTCCTTACAGCAGGTGATGCCGCCTCTCTAAGGGGGTGTGCTGGGGGTAAAGATGAGTGCGTGGCCCCCCAGTAGCGCTGACATGCTCCTGGACTGTGAAGGCCCCAGGAAGCCAGTTCCTGACTCGGGGCGGCGGGAGGGAGCAACCCTGCTCTGATCAGCCGTCCAAGCTGAGCTTCACTCCTCAATGATGAGGTGAGTGGACGGCACATGTTTGATGTCTTCTTATGTTTTCTTTTCTCATCTCTCTCTCTCTCTCTCTATCTCTCTCTCTCTTTTGAAAGATCTTAAAATGGAATCACTGTGAGATAGATCCTTAGGAAGCTGTTCATGATCGGTTTCATTCGTACAGCGTTCCAACACCCATCTCCCTAGCACTGTACGTTTCCCTGCACCAGTGTCCCAAGTTCCCTCCCTTCACCCCCATCCCCAAGGGCCTGCCTCAATGGCAGGCACTTTTTCTCTTTCTCTTTCTCTCTCCCTTCCCCTCTGCCTCTCCCTCCTTTTGGGCACTGTGGTTCAGCAGAAGCTCTTTAAATCTCTCTGCAAGATGGGTCCCAGGGCACTACTCTGGCGGTGTGTGGACAGAATTCCCGATACCTCAATACTGCCGTTGACCCCCATGGAGAGCCCCCCAAAGCATCCCCACCTGGATGAGGCTGTGTTTCTCGCACATCAGGATCGTCTTCTTTTTGACGGTCCTCACTCGGAGGCAGAAGAGCTGCAGCTGGTCCCCTGGCTCACAGGGAAGCCCGTACCACTGTCCGCTCCCCACCACTTCTATGCTCCCTGTCTTATCCTTAATCTCATAGATGGTGTTCTTCTTATTCTCTATTTTCTGCAAAAGAAGCGGAACATTTAGTTTCTAGAGGGTAGTGACCTCCCTGTGTGTGAGGAAGAGGTCATGTGAGCAGCAGGAAGAGGAACTGTGTGATGCGGGGACTCAGGCAGTCCCCCTCACACCTGCACACCTTGATTATCTCTGCTGCCATTCTAGTGCTTCTATGTACTTTTTGAGTCACACCTGGAAATGCACAGGGGTTCCTCCTGGCTCAGGCGCTCAGGAATTACTCCTGGCAGGACCGTATGGGATGCTGGGAATCGAACCCGGGTCGGCCACATCCAAGGCGAATGCCCTACCCACTGTGCTATTGCTCCAGTCCCGATGTGCTAATTCTTAATTTTCCTCCTTCCTGACTTCTACCCTAGGGGAGATTGGTTCCTTAAAACCAATCAGGGGAATTGGAAAGTCATGGAGGTATCTTTGGTGCCTGCCTGTTTGCAGAGATTATTGGGCTACCGCTGTTCACTCCACAGACTGATTGCGAGTTTCTAGAACAAAGAAGGCCCACGGAGATTCTTCCCTCTCCTCCCTCTTTCCTCTCTTCTCTGCCCTTTTTTCTCTGATATCTTATCCCTTTGGCCTCGGACCGGTGGGTCACATTTCACACCTTACTGAAGCTATCCCTGATCAAGTCCATGAGAGAGTGTGGGTGGGAGTGGATGGCAGCTAAGGGCAGTGTCGGAAAGCAGTGGAGAGCGACAGCCTCTTGGGACACAGAATGAGGCTCGATGCAGCACGTCCTCTGGGAATGAGTCGTGGTGTGTCTGCTAGGGAGGATTAAATAGATCCCAGCATCCTGTACCTTGAGTTGGCAAGTGAGCAAGTCAGTAACACTCTTGGCCTCTTTTTCTTTTTTGTAGGGGCTAGGTGTGGGGTTTGGCCACTCCTGATGGTGCCCAGGGCTTACTCTGTACTCGGGGATCACTTTTGGTGGTGCTCGGGTGTCAAACCGGGTGGGCTGCATGCAGTGCAAGTGCTTTACCCACTGTGCTGTCTCGCCAGCCTCCAACCTTTTGCCTTTTTATTTTGTTAGCACTATAGCACTGTCCACCCGTTCTTCGATTTGCTCGAGCGGGCACCAATAACGTCTTCACTGTGAGACTTGTTACTGTTTTTGGCATATCGAATGCGCCACGGGGAGCTTGCCAGGCTCTGCCATTTGGGCGGGATACTCTCGGTAGCTTGCCGGGCTCTTCGAGAGGAGAGGAATTGAACCCGGTTCGGCCGCATGCAACGCAAATGCCCCAACCTCTGTGCTATGGCCCCAGCGCATATTTTGGTAAACAAGAGAATTTGCCAACCAGAGATCTTAACTCTCATGAATTTCTCTACTTTTCAGTACTCAAGAACCTGTTCGTGAAGAATCGGTGAATGAGTGTGTAAAGGAGGCAGCATCAAAAAGCTGCACGCTGTGCGTCCCTGTGAGAGCACAGCCCAGTCTGGCCAGAGTCCCACCCTAGTGGTGACTGGGACTGGTCATTTAAACACTGCGCCCCCGGCCTGGCACGTGCTCTCAGGAGCAAGCTCTGTCCTGTCTGTGCAAGTAGAGACGGATCACAAGAGCAGGACATGACCCAGTCGACCTTTTGCAATAAATTCTCAGGGAGGCAGTCCCTGTGCCCCATGAGAAGTCTTCCTCTAGTCAGGAGGGAGTGGAGGGTCTCTGTGAGCAGTACATGACCTGGGAGACAGGCAAGCAAACACAGGTGCTGCTGGAGGTGCGGCAGAACCGTCTCACACGTACCTTGACCACCTTGTACCGCCCATATACGGGTGTCCCTGACACAGCTTTGCACAGGTCGTCGATCTTGGGAGGCTCGCATGCCCTCTTCATGACGCTCTTTGGGACCTGGAGCAGGGCAGTAGTGGGAGACACTACGGAGGCCTCACTGACCTCCAGGGTCCCTCTGCAGATAGAGTGACCAGAGATGGTGAGAACCGCGTTCTCTGTGAATAGGTACCACAGAGTGTCGTGAAAGACCTTCACCCAGAAGAACTGACTCTCCGTGGCCACTGTGGCGTAGAACATGAAGGCGTGGCCCTGTCCCATAAACTCATAATTGAATCGCTGGCTGCGTTCCAGCACCAGGACGGTCACGGGGCCCTGGGATAGGGTTTTTCTGTCTTCAGCGACCTTAGCTGCAGCTGACGGGCTCTGAATTTGGGATAGACAGAAACAGAGCAATAAACCTCCTGGCTGGAGCAGAGATGCAAGCTTGCATTTCTACTCGAGCGATTTGGAGCTGGAGTAGGTAGCGGGGCTGGGAAAGTCTGCCAGGTGGGGGCTCAGGGTCTGATCTGAGAGTCCCAGTTGCAACAGAATCAGCCCTGAATTAACATGGTACCAGTTAGAGCCTGTAAAGAATGGGTAGGTTCACCAAGTACTCAAAAGAAGAGTCAGGCATACTGAGATGCCAGGGTTGAGCAGACGCCCTGCCTTAGTCCCCGCCCCGGCAGGGCACCCCAATGCTGCAGGGAGTGACCTCTGGGACTGGCCCAGGATGGTCAGGGAGAATCTGATTAGCAGCGTTTTTGGAGGTGGCCAAGCCAAGTGAACAATGTCCCTGACTTGGGGGCCCCATTCCCAAGCAGGCTGATTTACACATGGGGAGTCAGGCCTGTATCACTGTCACTGGGTCACTGGGTCTGAGTATACCTCGGTCAAGGATGTGGAGGATGCCATGGACACTGAGCTTGGCATGGTTGGCAGGATACTTGGCTTGTCAAGTTGGAAGATCGGGGTGGCTGTTGGGTAGTTTTTGGTGTCTGGTGAGAAGCTCCTGGTGGCCGTTTGGGTTCTGGAAGGGCTGGCACCAACAGGATAGGGGGCCTTGCTGGACATCTGGGCCCCCTTGTTCTTTTTCACACCTTTTTCTCCTTCCGTGTTGTGTTTTCTTTTCTGGAAGTGAATACGTTTTCTCATGAATAGTCCCCAGCTCTCAAAGCACAGAAGTAAGGCTGGAGCAATAGCACAGGGGGGAAGGCGTTTGCCTTGCATACAGCCAACCTGGGTTCAATCCCCAGCATCCGATAGGGCCCCCCAAGCAAAGCCAGGGCTAATTCCTGAGTGCAGAACCAGGAGGAACCCCTGAGCATCGCCAGGTATGACCCCCACCAAGAATAAATAAAACCTCGGAACTTTGATTTCACTTGGTGACTTTTGTCTTGGAGAAACTTGAGGTCCACTGTGGGGAACCCTAACCCGTCCCAGAGGGAACCCCAGGAAGGAGCCCGAGAAACAATTGGGAAAGGTGCCCCTAGAGGGCACCTGGTGCCCCCACCCGCCTGCCACTCAGAAGGCACCGAGCTAAGACAGTGTGTAGGTGTGTGAGCAGGGCTCAGTACACAGCTGTGTCCTGCGGGCCCCACCCCAGCCTCGACTCAGACCCAGGCTCTAAATGTTACGGCTGTCTCTATGCTCTCTGGGCCGTTCGTCTGTCTGTCTCCTCTAGCCTCTCTATCTCTCTGACCCTGTCTCTCTCCTGTCTATCTCTCTCCCTTTCTCTGTCTATCCATCTGTCTCTGTTTCTCTGTCTGTCTCTGTGTCTCTATATATCTCTGGTTCTCTGTCTCTCTCTATATCTCTATATCTCTCTGAATCTGTCTGTCTCTATGTCTTGTGTATCTCTCTGCCTCTGTATGTCTCTGTGTATCTATGTATCTCTCTGTCTGTCTCTGTCTCTATGTCTATCTCATCTGTATCATCGGTTCACGTATGTTTGTTTCTGTACCTGTCTCTGTCTCCCTGTTTCTGTCTGTCTCTGTCTCTCTATCTCTTTCTCTCTCTGTCTCTTTGTCTGTCTATCTCTGTCTGTCTATTGCTGTTTGTTTCTATGTTTCTCTGCGTCTGTGTCTGTCTGTTTCTGTCTCTCTGTCTCTTACTGTTTCTGACTTTCTGTTTGTCTCCTTTGATATTTCTCTGTCTTTCTCTCTGTCTCTGTCTGTCTCTGGGGTTGTGTGTGCGAGGAGGGAATGCACAGCTGAGGTGCCCCTAGCCCCGAGCCTCTCTTGCCAGGTATGGGGAACTGAGCCCCTGTTCCTCTGCTTGGTATCCTGTGCCTGACTTCCCTTCCTGGGGACACAGGGCTACCCCCGGGCTGACCTGGGCCACAGAGTCTTCTGCTGCTCCTTGGGGTGGCTTTGGGCCATCCGGGCTGCTCAGAGGTGCCGAGGGCCCCGCTCCGTCCTGCTGCCTGCTCCTTGCCTTCTCTCCTGTGGTCTTGAGTCTCCTTTTCACTGACAACAAGAGGGCAGGTGAGCATGGAAGGGGGCCAGGCCTCGGTGCTCTGTCTACCCCATACTTCCTGTCTGGACCCCAGGCCTACCTGCCCCGCCCTCTGCCTTGCCCCTCCGCACTCAGGCCCCCTGAGGGGCCAGAGACCCCACAGCAAAATCTACTAGTGCGGGAACCAGTAGGGAAACCCTGCTGCTGATGCACGGGGACCCCTGAGGTCCCCGGTTCAAGCATGCAGCCAGATCTCATGCGCAGCTGCCTTCCCTTCACCCCAAACACCCCCACAGCATCCCGATACAGCTGACCCCCAAGTCATCGCACGTCCCGCCCCTACTCCCACCCCTGGCATGAGCCGGGCGCAGGAGGTCTCCATTACCATTTTGCTTCTCCTTTCTCAAGGAGTCCACAAATTCCTTGAGCTCTGGATCATCTTTGAGGGTGTCGATGAGCTTGTCCACAGATGCAGCACCTGGGAACTTGGAGAATATCCGGTCTGCGATCTTAATTCTGTCCGAGTCTTCCCTCATTTGGGGGGTCAGCTGTAACTCATCCGCCAGTAAGCACCTGACTGTTCGGAACTGGTAATCAGTGAGCATCTTCAGCCCCTTGTGCAGGAGGATTTTCTTATACTCCATCGCCATCTGTCACAGGGAGCCTGGGAGAGGGATGGGGTGTCATAGGGACTGGGACAGCCTGAGCCGGCCTGGTGCCATCTGCCCTGGACTCACAGGGCCCAGCATGCTGGAAGAGGCGGCAGAGAGGCTTGTGCAAGGAGAAGGGCCCCGTGAGCACCCGTGAGCTCAGGGCCTTGCACCCCACCAGGGTTCAGAATGAGCTCTGGGGTGGAGTGGGGGGCTCGGTGTCAGTTCATGCCCAGAATGTCCCCAGGGACCTCCGCAGCCCTCAGGGGCTGACTGGGCATTAGCTCCCCTGGGCCCTCTCCTAAGGACAGACTGCTCCTCGACATTCCCCCTTGGTGAAACGGAGGCCTGTCCACTCTCTGCCTCTCTCCTGTTTGCATGGAGCTAGTTCGAGTGAGCCTCCTTGTCTTCGCCAAAAGTGTCATCTCTGCCGCCAATCTGAGTCCATTCCTCAGGACCATGGATTTGGGGCTCGACGGGCCAGCCCTGGCCGCTTTGGGCACCTTGCCACGTCCCCAGTGTGAAGGACATTTTTGTGCCATGGGGCTTCTTCCCAGAACCCTCCCTTCCCGCCATGATGCAGGATATGGCCCTCAGAGCGAAGAGGTTAGCATTTGGACTAAGGACTGGACCCAGACTAACATTTGACTAAGCGGAATGCCTGTAAATCAAACGGAAAACCAGGTTCACTGACCGCTAACCAGGAGGGATTAGGAAAGAGAAAATGCTACCCAAACAGAGGGGTTCAGCAGTCGGTCCAGTGCAGGGTAGAAGCTGCCCTGTGTTTGCAAAAGGAGATAAAAGTACCTAATGGGAGGGAAAGAGGGCCAGAGGAAAAGGGGGCGGGCTCAGTCTCAGGAGGCCCTGAGCTCCCTGCTGGGCACTGCTGGCAGCATGTGAAGGACCCACAGGGGGTTTCCCAGAGGGAACTGAAACCTCTGACAGTCCCTGAGATGCAGGTGCTGCAGCACTGAGCCCCACGGCCCTGTCCTGAGAGAGGCGGCACCCATGGCAGCGCCTGGCCTATCATAACTCTGCATAAGAGAACAGAAAACAGGATCTAGTTTGCCACCTGCGAGGGCCAACTCCTCAGCAGACAGCAGGGGCAGGCGTCCACCCACACCTCGAGGTCTTCCTGTGAGGCCTGTGCAGAAGCACCAGCACTTCCCTGAGTCCTCCCAGGCCTCTGGGCCCCCGTCCCACTCTCCCTCCTGGGCCCCAGAGCCCCTCCAGCCTTCCATAGGCACAACTCCAGAACTGAGGTGTCCCGGAGGCTTCCAGACAGGAGCCTGCAACCTCTCCAGCAGGAGAATCACTTGAGAGGAGGATTTTAGAGCCAGCCAAGATGACCTTTCCATGGCAAGAGCAGAAATTCTCTTCTGGTGTTCACCAACATGGTGAAAAGGCAGAAGAGTTGCAAAGCCTGCAATGGGAGACTGTTTGGTACGGTGTTACTATTGTGGGTTTTTTTTTCCTTTTAGGGTCATACCCAGCGATGCACAGGGGTTCCTCCTGGCTCACACACTCAAGAATTACTCCTGGCGGTGCTCGGGGGACCATATGGGATGCTGTAAATTGAACCAGGGCAAGACAAATGCCCTACCCGTTGTGCTATTGCTCCAGCCCCATTATTTTATTTTTTAAAAGGCAAACAAGGTAAAAGTCGTTTAATGCATCAGGAAGAGAGTAAGGGGCTGAGTTCAGTTGGCTAGTGGGCCAATCCCTCCCTGAGAGAAAGAACAGGATGTGAGCCTCTGTGAAAAAGAAAGTTTCGATATACTTTGGCAGAGAAAGAAAGTTGAAGCCCAGATGAAGTTTTGCAAATGGCGACAGAGAGATGGAGAGTGGAGAATCTGGATGGACCCAGGGGAGAATCCTACTTAGCTGAGTCCCTGTTCAAATGCACCCACAAGAATTTGCAGGGTTGACACGACCGTAAGATTTGCTTCCTGCAAGAAGAAATGAAACTGAATGATCTGAATGTGTGGCTCAAAGTGGACCCTGGGCAGAACCCAGAAAACTGCCCATTAGTGAGGCAACCCTCACCCCGTGCTCAGGAAAGTGTCCCCTGGTCTCCTGGAGGATTGACAAGCAGCCCTGTGGGAAGGAGCTTCTAGCCTCTGGAAGGGCTCAGCTCAGGCTGCTCCAAGCAGAGTCTCCCCCTGGGGACGGGAGATGCTCACTGGGTCTCTCTGGCTCTTTTCTGGTTGGAGAGGGAGGGTCTAGTGAGACCCTAGGCGGGGTGGGGCAGAGACAGTCCCTCTGCCCCTCCCTGAGTGATGCAACCCCTGCTCCTCCCTTCCTGCCCCCTCTCATGCCCCCCTCCCCCCCAGCCCCCCCCCCCCCCCCCCTTGCTCAGGAGGACAAGGGTCAGTCCTTCCTCAGTCCTGGGGTCCGGGAGTTCTGGCAGGACTCACCCTCTCCTGTGTTCTGGTGCTTGGGTCTCGGGTCTCCCAGCCGAGGGGAACTGAGGCAGTGGTGGCTGAGGATGGCAGGGGAGGCAGGAGCAGAGTGGGCCAAGCAGGCCTGGGGCTTTGCTTCCGGGCAGAGGAGAGGGAGGGAGAGAGAGAGGGACCAGGCTGAATGGAACTGTGAGACCAAGTGCTGGCCTGCCCCTCTGAGGCTGACTCCTCCCAGCTGGGGCAGGAGTTTTGGTTTCCTGGGGGCAGAGGAACTGAAGCGTTTTCCAAAATCCTGCCTGGCCCCATCCCCCGCCCTTCCTGTCAGCGCTGGCTGGGCTGAGGGCGCCTCCTCAGTGCTGGTGCCCTGGTCTTCGTGGGCCTGCGTGTCCCCTGCCTCTGCTCTGCGCCTCCTTCCCGTCGGTTGGGGAAGGGTCCGTGTCTTTGTGAGGCAGGGGACTCTTTTGCTCTCTGCACATGGGGTTGTTCTCCCTCCGCGGAGTTCCCTGGGAGCGAGGGCGCACCCTGAAACCCCTGCAGGGCTGCAGCCAGCAAGGGGGCTTTCCTGGTCAGAGAACCCCCATGAAGCTGTGCTCAGCTGTTTGGATTTGCTCATTTGTCTGTTTCTTCTTCTGTCTCTAAACCGTGGGTGGGTTTCTGCACTGTACCGCAAAGCGCCAGAGCCCCGCCCCCCACTCCATCACCCGTGTTTCGTCCCTCCTTTCCTCTGGGTCCCCTTTTCAGGCATTTTCCAACTAGGGTCACAGCCTGAGGAGCTTCTCTGGGAAGCTCAGGGCCATTGGTGTCACCCCCTTCCCTGGCCCCCTTGGCAGTGGGTGGAGACCCCCGGGATGCAGTAAGTGGGAAACTGGCATCATGCTCACCCCTGGGGCTGCAGGGAGAGCAGGAAGTGCAAGGACAGGGTGTCAGCAGCGGGTGAGGGAAACCCTGACTTTGCAGAGGGACTCCCACGGGGGCCCCTGCTGGGCCTGCACCCAGCCCCCACCTACCTTCAGGGGCCTCTCCGTCCACCTAGGCTTCCAGGAAGATCCAGACTTGCGCCTTAGGGAAAACGTAGCAGATTCTTCTGCACTGTTTTGTTATTTTGGATTTTTTTTTCTTTTTGGGTCACATCTGGTGATGGTCAGGGGTTACTCCTGGTTCTGCACTCAGGAATCACTCCTGGTGGTGCTCAGGGGACCATATGGGATGCTGGGAATCGAACCCAGGTCGGCCACCTACAAGGCAAACGCCCTCCCCGCTGTGCTATCACTCTCGTCCCGTTATTTTGGATTTTTGGCCACACCTGGTGGTGCCCAGGGCTTACTCTTGACTGTTTTTGTTTTCTTTTTTTTTTTTTTTTTGGTGGGGGGAGCGCTCCGACGTCCTGATGGATCCATCACATCCTCCAGAACGGCAATGGAGAAGATTATCCATGACTTCTACTCAAATCTCTTCTATAGCCATGTCCACTTGCCGACATACCAAATTCCACAGGATGGATATGTCGTTCCCAACGTTCTCCCTTCCGAAATCCGACACGCCATTTCGTCAGTAAAGAAACAAACAGCACCCGGCCCAGACAAGGTCAGACCTGAACACCTGAAGAACCTGCCGTCAGTACTCATCAACACACTGGCTCGGCTCTTCACTCGCTACCTGTCTGAATGCAAGGTTCCGTCCCAGTGGAAAACCAGCAGGACCGTACTACTGTTCAAGAAGGGAGACATCCATGACATTGGCAACTATCGCCCGATCTGCCTATTGTCTGTCATCTACAAGTTGTTTACTCGAGTCATCCTAAATAGGATTGGCAGAACACTAGATGAAGGACAACCATGCGAGCAAGCCGGGTTCCGCAAAGGATTCAGCACCATCAACCATATCCACACGATAACCAAGCTCATTGAGGTTTCTCGGGAGTTCAAGATGTCACTCTGTTTAACGTTCATTGATTTAAAGAAGGCCTTTGATTCTGTTGAGACGGAAGCGGTCATTGAAGCCCTAGCCAATCAGGGCATTCAAGCCCAATACATCAGGATCCTCCGTGAGCTGTATTGCGGATTCACTACCAGGATCTCACCATTCTACAAAGAAGTGATCGTTGATGTCAAGAGAGGGGTGCGGCAGGGTGATACCATTTCACCGAAACTCTTCAGTGCCACCCTCCAGAGCATTATGCGATGACTGGAATGGGAAGGAATGGGAGTGAAGATAGATGGTCGGCAACTGCACCACCTCCGCTTTGCTGATGACATTGTTTTAATAACACCAAACATCAGCCAAGCGGCACAAATGCTGGCCGACTTTGACCGTGAGTGTGGAAAGGTAGGACTACAGCTGAATCTTACGAAGACAATGTTTATGAGAAACAGCTTCGTTCCTGATGCCCCATTCGCTCTCAACGGAACGACCATCTCCGAATGCAACAGCTATGTGTACCTAGGTAGAGAGGTCAACATGACAAATGACCTGGCACCCGAGCTGCGCAGGAGGAAGAGAGCGGCTTGGAACGCCTTCAAGAACGTCGAAGAAATAGCTAAGAGGACGAAGAACCTCCGGCTCCGGGCACATCTCTTTGATTCCACTGTTCTTCCCTTATTAACATATGCCTCAGAGACCTGGGCCCTACGCAAACAAGATGAGAACGCTATTCAGGTCTCCCAAAGAAGAATAGAAAGAGCTATGCTTGGAATATCATGTTTCACTCAAATGAGAGAAAGAATCCGGAGTTCTGACATCCATCGACGATCAAGGATCAGGGATGCTGTCTCATTTGCCAAGTTGTCGAAAATCAGATGGGCTGGTCACGTAATGAGATTTAAAGACGACCGTTGGACTAGAGCTGTTACTGACTGGATTCCACAGGATGTCAAAAGACCGCGTGGCCGCCCACCTACCAGATGGTCAGACTTATTCTTGAAGATCATGAACGATCGGTTTGAGGCCCTTCATGTTCCCAGAGCGAACAGATGCCATTGGGCTACACTAGCTCGCGACAGGGACAAATGGAGACTTACTGGCGCCTGCTCGAGCAAATCGACGACTAACGGGAACTTAAGTGATTAAGTGATTAAGTGGGGGGAGCGCGGAGTTGGGGTCACACCTGACAATGCTCAGGGGTTATTCCTGGCTCTGCATTCTGGAATTACTCCTGGTAGTGCTGGGGAACCACATGGGGTGTGGGGGATCGAACCTGGGTTGACTGTGTGCAAGGTATTTATGCCCTATTCCCTGAACTGTTGCTCTGGCCCCTCCCAAAGTATTTTCTAATTTATTTTGTGAATGATTCTTTTTCCCATTTAAAAAATTTTTTTATTAATTCACCATGAGATACAGTAACAAAAATTTCAGGTTTGAACTTCGATCATACGGTCATCAAACACCCATCCCTTCATCAGTGCATATTTTCCACCACCCAAATCTCCAATATTTCCCCCCCTCCCCATTCCACATCTCCTCCTGCCTGTTTGGCAGACAATTTGCAAAATATTCTTTGTCTTCTTTAGTTACCTTCGATATTTTGAGACCAGTCCTACCACCCCTCATCACTGTCCTCCCATTGTTCATCGATTTGCTCGAGCGGGCCCAGTAACATTGTGAGACTTGTTACTGTGTTTGGAATATCAAATATGTCACGGATAGCTTGCCAGGCTTTGCCGTGCGGGCGAGATACTCTCGGTAGCTTGCCGGGCTCTCCGGGAGGGGCGGGGGAATCGAACTCGGGTTGGCCAGTGTCGGCCACGTGCAAGGCAAACACCCTACCTGCTGCGCTATTGCTCCAGCCCACGACCCCTCATACCTGCCGAAAATACAATTGCTAGACAATGTGTTTTGTATTGCTTGTTATGGATTTAATATAATGTCGCACGGCCGCGAGGAATTCTAATAATTAGGGTCTGAAGAAATCACTGCCGCAAGTTGCTCGGGTCCAAGATTCCTGTGTGTGTGTGTCTCTGGATTGTGGCCAAGTGGGAGCTGGTGCTTCTTGCTGGCTTCTAGAAAATGGTGACCGCTGGAGCTCTTAGAGGGCAGGCAGTGGGACGGCACCGGCACCAGCGGCCCAGCGGAGAAGGCCTATTTCAAAGTCCCGGGCCATCTCTGCCACAAGTTGCTCGGGTCCGAGATTCCTGTGTGTGACATTGTGAATGATTCTTATTTATTTACTCTTTAAAAGTATACTGTGGGGCTGGAGAAAAATTTGACAGGCCAGAACTGCTTTCCATGCAGGGGGCCTGGCTTTTATCCTTGGCACGCTGTATGTTCCCAGACATATACCCCACCTGGGTTCGATCTCCAGCTGTAGGGACCAGCCCCGGGTGAACAGACCTGAAGCAGGGGCACTGTGAAGATCAAGAGAAGAGCCAGAAATAAGAGAGAAAATCAGGGGGTCGGGGGCTGACAGCTCTAAGGACTGAGAGACTTTCTATTGGCTCTGCACTCCTCGTGGAGTGCTGGGGGTTAGCCCAGGTTGGCAGCTTGCAAGCCAAGTGTCTTTCCCACTGTACAGACTCTCTGGCCTCTCCTGTGTATCTTAAAACGTGCTTTCTCACCGAGAAGAGAAGCACTGTAGCACTGTCCTCCTGTTGTTCATCGATTTGCTCGAGCAGGCCCAGTAACATCTCATGGATTTGCTCAAGTGGGCACCAGTAACATCGCCATTGTGAGACTTGTTGTGACTGTTTTTGGCATATCGAATACGCCACAGGGAGCTTGCCAGGCTCTGCCATGTGGGTGGGATACTCTCGGTGGCTTGCCGGGCTCTCTGAGAGGGACGGAGGAATCGAACCTGGGCCGGCTGTGTGCAAGGCTGGGCCCTCCCCTCTGTGTTACCACTCCGGCCCTAGAAGTGTAGCACTCTAGTACTGTAGCACTGTCCTCCCATTGTTCATCAATTTGCTAGAGCCGGCCCAGTAACGTCTCCATTGTGAGACTTGTTGTTACTGTGTTTGGCATATCGAATATGTCACGGGGAGCTTGCCAGGCTCTGCCGTGTGGGAGAGAGACTCTTGGTGGCTTGCTGGGCTCTCCAAGAGGGGCGGAGGAATCGAACCTGGCTCAGCTGGGCCGGCCGTGCGCAAGGCAATTGCCCTACCTCTGTGCTATCGCTCCAGCCCTTAGAAGAGTAGAGGGAATGAAAATAGGGGGAGGCGCAGCTGACCCCTGACCAGCAGAGCCTCTGTCCCCCA